GATACGGAATTTCTATCTTTTGCGCTACGAAGGGCACTAACGCCATGGTGAATGGCAGATACTAACAATAAGCATCTAAAAAGTAAATTGTCCGCATTACAGCCCCTGAAAAATATTTTATCTAATTTTATTAAGATAAAGTTATAATAAAAATCATCCTTGTAAAATAATATAGTATAGTAAATTTTATTCAATCTAAATTCATACAGTGTATAGCAAGTACAGCCTTCAAATTCGAAAAATTACCAAATTCCATATCACCACAAATTACAAATCCCTTTCCGACACGCTACTTCAGAACTACCGTAATATGAACTATCACATGCGCTTCACCCCTACTTACCATCCTATCCACCCTTATTTTCACGTAAAAATGAGTACAACTGGCCTGGCGTCTGCCCGGCCCCAGCGGTTGCATGCCCCCCCTACTACAATTTCGTAGCGCTTTTTACGCGGGAGGAGAGGTACAGTAATTTCTTGGAATCGCGGCCCTGCCCCCTCATCGTCGCCATCTCATTTTCCCAATTACGAATTACAACCGTCTAATTGGGAATAGCAGGTGCTTTTCACGAAATAAGTTGACGAATTGTACGCCACTGCTTATTGCAGAAAACATCATGATGAGGGGAAATTGTTTTAAATTGGGTTGATTAGGTAAAAAATTAGGTTGCACCTGCGGCGTGGAGGTGCAGTGGGCATTATGGGGATCAAGTTCAGTAAACTTTGGGAAATTAAAAATAACATAATCGTCAAGCTATGCACCATTCATAAAACTTAATTTATTTTCAGGTACTTCTGGATAAAACTTAATTTGGATCACAGTTTCGGTAAGACAAATATGTACTTTTTAATGGATGAATTTTTAAGGTTACTGTAGAATTAATTTTGCCAAGATATCTGACATTTGTTGAGCGGAAAATCTTGTGAAAATTGCGTCCACGTGTATAATCCGAATACTCATGTTTTTGCACGTTTACTACCATTTATATATAAGCTAGCTATTGTCATAAAATGACAGTTTCTACATGACAACATTTCAAAAACCTCCAGACGGCCCAAAATCACCTTAAAATTCAGAAAAACTGAAGTGCATCTGTGGTCGTTTGGAGGAGTCACGTTGTTTGTATGTGCACCCCCTAAATCTGGCCCATTCCCCCCCCCCCGCCCGCCGCGCGGCTTCTGCCACTTCCCCTTTTTTCGAAAAGGTGGTCGCCCCGTGTCGCGGCTCACCCCGGGCAACTTACCTCCACCGTTAAATGCATCATTATTTACAGCGGCTGGCCGTGGGCGCTTCTATTTCTTCTTTCTCTCAAAGAAGAGCTTTTTTCTTTGTTTTTCTTTTGATCCACTCCGCCTTTCCTAAAAATAGAAAGCGGATGACGGGGAATAGGGAGAGGAGAGAGCGGAGAGAGAGAGAGAGAGCGAGAGAGAGAGCCGAGTCCCATCCTGGGCACACGATGAAAAATACACGAAATTTTCGGAATCTGGATTGGGTGGAATGTGGGACACCAATGGGTTTTGGGTTTTTGAAGGGGATGTCCGCGAATTGGGTGGCAGTTTCTGATACTTTTTTCTTAAATTTGTTTTAGATATATCGTTCCTATAGGTCGGAAAAATTCCTAAAAGCTCTGTTTTTTTTGGAAATTGTCTCTGCTAGCTTGTCTCGATCCCCGATAAGTAATAAAGCTTCTTGGAGATTTCTGCTATCCTGCGGCGCTTTTTGAACCCGTATCTGCATTGTTTCGAAGAAAACTTAGTTTTCTTTTTAAACTTCTAATTTAAAAAGACGTTTCGAAAAAATGAAGTACTAATTCCGATTTTTTCCGCTTTTCCGATTGCCCTCATCGAATCTTCTTCCCAGGCTTAATAAAAACCGCCGTTTCCGGAGATCCATACACCTAAACCAATCCACCCAGTTTTCGGCCTTGTTTTTCGACCAGAGCATTCAGATGGTTGGCAAATTGGTGAGTTGGAAGAAGAGAGATGGGTGTCCAAGAAACCGGCCAATCCCCCGAAAAGGAGGGCCAATGGCCATCCTTTATTCATCTTGAGAAGCGGGGGGATACCCCTGAATTTGGCGCTTCTGGTCCTACGATTGGGGGAAATACAGGAAAGGGGGCATCTTGCTTAAAAAATTTCATTTTAAATAATGGGTCGGGTTAGGGTACGGCAATTCATCGAGTTTGGATACGGTAGTAGAGCTATCTTAGACTAGTGCTAGAGATCAAACTACGATTTTTTAATATAATTTAATAGGTTTAACTAGGTTCCCATTCTCAAGTTTTACCACGCAAATCTCCGTAAAAATTTAAAAATTTCAATTGACACTAGCGATTTTCAAAATTGACCAACCTAACCCCAACGAACGCCAAAAAAATCCATAAAATTAGCAAGAACAGATGCCCCCAAAAAACCTCCGCCACCATCGAGAAGCCCAATTTGGCCAATTGGCCACCGGAAGTTTTGGCCGGGGCGGCGGGCGACGAAGAGCGAGGCGAATTTCCGTTTTTTTTTCGGCAGGCGAACCGCCAATTTTGACAAAAACAACCACCTGGGAAGGTGTGTGTATCTGGTCGAACAGGTGATAGATTAAAAAGGGAGCGCCATTTGCTGGAGAGAACAAAAAGGTGACGAATTTGGGAGGGTACTGTAAGTTTTGAAGGGTTTTTGGTTAAATAAAAAGTGTTAAAAGTCATTGAGGAAGAGAGAATCATTTTAACGGTAATTGGAAGGCAGGGGTTACGGTAGGAAGCGTAATACAGTAGGTAAATAAATGATCTAAAAATTGACCGTAAGGTTAGATATTGGTTATGAAATGAAACAAAATATGTAGCCGGCTGCTCGGGATTGATAGGGTTTTAAAGAGACTAGAAGGCAGGAGTTACGGTAGGAAAATAGAAGTGGCAGAATCTTAGAAAGTTTTAGTTAATCTTCAAGTTAATGTCGAATTAGGTCTAAAAAGAGATCCTTAGGTACTCTAAAGGTATCTGGAAGACAGGGATTGCGGTAGAAACATAGTAGAAGTGCAAAACGGCTTTGTCAAGCCTCTGACAAGTCACTTGCCAAAATCCCGCCTTCCCGACCCCTTCAAAGCATCAGGAACTACCCGAAAATAGCCAGCAAATACCTTCGTAAAGTAATGGAAACTTCCCAAGATAATCGACCCTCAATGGGTAATGGCTGGCTATTCAGCCGAATCTTCTTCTGTGCTCTGGCCAACGTTTTGTCCCTAAAGGAAAAGCCGCCTGGGCCCGGCCCTCTTCCCCCATTAGTGAAATATTCAACGGGTGTGGGGGGTCCTAGAAGAAAATGTGCGACGGCTAAACTGCCTTCAGGGCCACGCCAAACACTTAGAAGGGCTTGTGGATGGATGGGTCGACGAGCAGGAGGAGCACGATGAGCACGAGGAGCAACAGAAACTGCCAGTTGTCCCCGGGCTTGACTTGGAAATCAGAGCAAAAAGGGTATGGTGGCGTACTTTAAGGGGGACGTCTGTACTTTTCGGGAATTTCGTGGGGTTTTAAATGTATGCGAAAATAACAATAAGTATGTGAAATTCAAGGTAGAAGTTCGCAACCAAATGGATACCGGGATCCGACCGTAACCACGTACAGAATCGGAGCAGAAAGAGCACAAAATTTGGATCGAACTGAAATAAACTGAACAAAAAGGATAAAGAGGAGCCTAAATGATTGTTATGACCCTACCGTAAGCCCGTAAAAACCACTTGATTTTAATCAACTAAGTAAAATTATCAAATAAACTTTGAGTAAATTGAAGTTCAACTTGTATAATCCTGTAAATCTGTTCCTAGCCGCATCAAAATTGATAAATGGAAAAACCAGGGCAAAAAGGCCATACATTCGATTGTGTTAAGTCAACATAAACGGCGTTTTAAAACATACCGTAATCTCAAAAACTAAAGTTTAAAAATTTAGACATAAATTCGACGAACTCACAAAATCGTTCACAGAAAAGCGGGGCTAGTCTATGCTCCATGGAACCGACCAAAAAACACGTGTGTGTATGTGCACGGGCCAGCCATCCGGAAAGTGGGACCCGAAAATGGGGTGCCCCCCGGAAGATGAGGGGGTGGTTTCGGAAAAGGGGGAGGAGGATAGATAGAAAAGCCGGGTAGTGGAAGCCCTAAGCTGAGAAACCCAGAAAACGGTCGAAGCCAATCCGGAGATCCCAAAAATTCTTACAGGATATAGGGAACTTGGTACGTCGAGACGGGGTGGTGTGGCTGGGGTTATTTGGACCTACAGTAAATGAAGATACAAATGAGTAGGGATGATCATGAACGCCGGAATCAGGTAAGAACTAGATTAAGCTTTCAACGAGGCCTATCTCGAATTCTAGATCAAAACCCTATTCGACCAACTTAAAAAGAGCTAAATTTAACTAACGTAATGTATCGTAATTATCCTTTTCAGTAGTTTATAATAAACCCTGATCCCGGCTTACTGTAACAACAAACAAACCGTAACTGCCGGCTTATTCGTAGGTGTCGGCCGGGATTTGAGTGGACTGAGTGCCCGATTGACACGGGCTTGGAATGAATACTTGAAGGAACGGCGCTGCTCAACCGCCAAACTTCCGCCATTCATAGGCTAGAACGGAGCACTGGGCGAGAGAGAGCTTTGGAAAACTCCTGCCTTTACTGCAGTTGAACAAGTTTTAAAGACGTATTGCTATTCATAATAAAAAGTACTGTTACCGTTTGACCTCCTTGAACTCGTCGGTTACTTGCGTTTACGTAATAAGCCTAGCTTTTCCTTCCCAGCCGTTTAAAGGGAAAGGGTAAGTACAGTAATTAAAGCTAGAATATTACGATTCATCATACAAAATTAAAAGCTACATACAAAACTCCTTGATCACGTCGGTGATTTTTCATGGTCGCCCTATCTCACATTTATTGTCCGACTCTTTAAAGAGATGGTCACACGCAACAACATTAAATCCAGGATATTATTAGTCATAAAGAAAAGTACTAATTACCATCTGAACTCCTTGAACTTGTCGGTATCTTGTGATTGGGTAAAGCTTCCTCCGCACTTAGCGGGACAAGACCACAAGAAAAATTTGAAGCAACTATCTTAAATACAAAAAATTACAATAAATGTTTGAATGCAATTTTTTCTTGTGATCTAGTCCCCTTAGAACCCCCCAAAAATCACCAACCTCCTCGTCCTCCATCTTCGGCGGCCCGCCCAACTTCAACCCGTGCATCTGGGGCGGACTGTCGAAGTTGACCAACTTCCCCTTCAACTCGGCTTCCCCCTAAAATGGCAAATATCGCAACCTCGATGCAGAGTGTAAATCTTGTACCCTAAACTTTCAAAACCACCAATTTCCAAAAAAATCCAGACCCTACGAGTTGCAACTCGCGCTTTCCCACGGTTAATAGGATAGAATACCCGGCAAAAGTTGTCAAATTGGAGGATGCGTTCGTTTGGTAATTACAGTGCAATTATAGTAAATTTGGGGGCCCGGAAAGTTAGTTGCCAGTTCGAACCCTAAACTTACCAGCAGTTCGGGCCGGTTTTTCCCACGTTTTACGTACAGCCGAAACCGGAGTTTTCCCGCTAGCATGTCATCTGAATTGGAAGTTACAGTAAAAAAAATATAAAAATTAAAAAAAGTATTTAAAAAGCCTACTTTCTTCAATATTTGTAAAAAGTAGACATTCATCAAACGTTGGGTGAAATCCGCCAGCATAAGCGGTTTGTTGTTTTGGCCCTTTTGCACAGGGGACTAGGACACGAATCTATAAAATTAAAAAAAGCTAAATTATTGTAAGACACCTACAGTATAACTCAAAAAAACCTTTTCCTTTTACAAATCCTAACTCTAATCCCGTGAAAATAATACCTGACTCAAACTGTCCGAATCGAAACATTCAATATCGTTCTCCGAACAGTCGCGAATTTTTATTATTAGCTAAAAATAAGTTTTTTCCGAAAGTTCTATAAATTACCGTCTTTTTAGCCGTAATATACTGCGTCGTAAAATTAACCCGGGCTGCGTAATGATCTCCTGGGGAGCGGTTACTTCCTAAAATTCGCATTCAAGGGCTGAATTCTTCTTAAAAAAATTACCATTAGATAAACGTCTTGCATTCTCCTTGTTCTCCTCAAAATAAGGGCCCGGTAGATAGTGGGAAGACTAAAAAACTAAGAATATATACGTATGAGCGGAAAATAATTTTAAGTAGATTTAGATTATTCCTTACGTCTAGCGAATTAATGACAATCGTCGGCTTCTTGACCGGTTCATAGGAATCATCTGGAGTGGGCTGTTGTTGTTGCGCATTCTAGAGGGTGGATACTTCTACCGTAACCCGGGTACCACCAACCGTTCGTCGAAAAAATATGGCTGTTAGCGGGCAGACCTGGAGGCTGGCGGAGAAGCACGAGGATAAGGCACGGTTCATCTGCTGGAGATTAGGATTAGAAAATTGAAAATCGTAAAATTGGGATATGTCAATTTTAAAATTGTCGAGAATTAAAAAATGCATTTAAATAGCACCATAATTTTCCAGTAATAAATATAGCCACTTTAGATAGAACCAAAGCGAGAGCGGGAGATTGGAGAATGAGAGAGGAAAGTGAGAGAGAGAGAGAGAGAGAGAGAGAGAGAGAGAGAGAGAAAGGCTAATAGAGAATCGGCTAAAGTGAGAAAGAGAGAGAGAAAGGCAGATACAGAATTGGCTAAAGAGAGAGAGAGAGAGAGAGAGAGAGAGAGAGAGAGAGAGAGAGAGAGAGAATGAGAAGGATATAGAGAGCGAGAGAGTGTCAGAGAACAGGAAATTTTACATATGCAGGCAGAGTTACAGGTGTTTAAAGATATAACTTCACGTAAAAGCCCAATTCTATGGTATCTCGCAAGATCGGTCCTTTAAAACCTAAACCCCAAATTCAAATTCTTAGACAAAATTAGTACCCCCCAAAAACACGAACACGTCTGGCCCCAACTTTTTCTCCCCAAAAAACACGAACTGCCTGCATCCAAAGGTGGCGTGCGTGGATTTAGGGCCCCCCCTCAGAAAATGCATGGTTTTCAAGAGCGGTGCTGAGCAGAGCAAGAGACGGGGTGAGGATGAAGACGAAGGGATGGAAGGTCAGAGAACCAAGAAATTCAGCCGGGGCACCCCCGTAAAAAAAAGAAAGAACACGAGCCCCGAACCAAAAAGGCTCTCGCTCCTCGTCGTCGAACTCCATAAAAATGGGTGGTTGGGCGACCCGGGGCATTATGAGGCTTTCGGTTCCGGAAATGGTCATCGAGTCGCTACGGGGTTTTTTGGGTCCGAAACGACATTCCGGTATTCGTTGCAGCGGTTCAATTAGGGATTGGGTACTGGCTATCAAATGGAATTCGGAAGTGAGAGGAAAAATTCGGGCTTCATGTAGGAATACTTGAGAAAAATTGATGCGTATAAAAATCGGGAAAACGCAAACATGCCGAAAGCGAAAACCCCGACAGCTAAAATCCCGATCCTTCGATCTTAAAAATAGAAGTTTGATGGGAAGAAGTGGCATTTAAAACTAGCATCAGGAATATGTCGGTATTTTGGTTTCCGCTATTTTGCAATGTCGGTATTTTGGCCGGGATAGATTACAATCATCTTTTTAAACAACAAAACTACAAACTACAAGCTCTTGATCTTCAATTCAACCATTGGGCCTTTTAAAGGGGTGGCGAAGGCGATGGATTCCGTAAATATTCAACGCGTACTTATTAAATTTTTAAACGAACGATCACTTATGCATGTTACTTTAGAACTAAAATAATGTACGCAAAAATCATAAAGGTATGCCCAACCTTTTCGGGGTTCAAAAAGCAAAAACCATGACGCGGGCGGGGGTCGAACCCGGGAGCCCCATTTTGTAGGCCTGGATGGTATACATTAGGCCATAGTGGCTGGCCATCGACTCGGATGGGGACGTCACAAGAGGGAAAGGTGTCCGAATTCTGTGCGGCACTGGCGTCTCATTGCCGCATAAAATTCCCGTGTCATTTGTACTGCCCGGAATACATAACTATAAATTTGCCACCAAAACCTTGGGTATCCCTTTAAAATACCTCTGAAGACAAAAAAAAGAGAAATATTTTCGACAATGTCGCATTACTGATGTCACCATCATCCACACTCCTCAATAAATATCCCATTCCCAAACAAAATAACAATGGTGTCAAAATACCAATTTCCGAATTGCCTCTCTACTCCCGGAACAACCACTGCTTATGAATTATTTCGGCGCATAGCTTGTGCCCACAAAACAAAACAAATGCCTCCCCCATGCCGTTCCCAGGGTTGGCGCAAATTACAATAGAAAAAAGCACGGACAAAAAGCAAAAAAATCCAGCCACGGCATGGGTCGAAGGTGGACCTTGTTTTCGCCATAAAATAAGAAATACGGCGACTACTCTGGATGCTTGAGATGGGTGGAAATTGCCGGAAAACGGGGGGCATCGCTTCACAATTTGGTTTACTCGCGACGACACACCGGGGGTGGGTGGGAGGACATTTTTGAATGACAACATTTCGAGCCTAGGGATAAACTGGAGAGGTGGCTGTCGAGCGGGGGTTTCTTAAACTGCAGAAAATATTATTAAAAATGCAAAGGAATGTTTTATTCATGGTCGTTTTGTAGCTAAGGTTTTAATATAAATGCTGTATTGTAAAATACAAGGGTTTCTATATAATTTATAAGGTTTTCCACGGTAAAAATTCAACCAACCGAAAATCTAGATTACAGAAAGTAAAAAAATTATATTTTTAAATGGCTACTTGGATCTGGAAGTGGTTATCCAGACAACGCAATACGCAACGCAGTACGCAACGCGAGACGCGAGTACGCAAAGTCGCAACGTCGCAATGCGACACGTGACGCGCTACGCAACGCGATACGCAACACTATGCCCTCGCGATGCTTCACAAGATAATTTTAAATCCAAAAGCGTCAAACACCATATCCCGGCTGCAAAAAGTACCCGAAAGCCATCTGAAATTTACTGTAGCTAAATCAAAACCGATAAGCCGAACCCCGAAAAAGCGCACTTTCCTAGTTTCCGGTGCTCAATATGGCTACCCAGGGCATAGAGAGGAAGGAATGTACTACAAAATACCGCCTTCGTGCCTTCAAAAAACCCGCAGTCGATTGAATGCCAGCAATTAGGGGGTCTACCACCCATTCGATACCGGCCATTTTCCGACGGCCAGTTTATAACCGATACGTCATTTCGGTGGTTAGTGTTGCGACTTTTTAAAATTTGCGGAGGATCAAGAAAAGAAAAAAAACTGACTTACAGAAAAAAAAAACTCAATAAAAAATTATTGAGCAACTTTTCCCTCAATCTTTCATTCAATAACCCCCATTCCCACCCCCAAGTTAATGAACCAAAAAAAAATTAGGAGCCAACCCGAAGATTAAGCTGGGAAAATGGCCACTGGAACACCGAATCGAATCGGCTAATCCCCCCACCCACCCACCCTTCACCTAAACTTAATAATGCGGGCCCACCCGAAAAGGAAAAGCCTAGGGGATTTGTGAGCTGCCTCCTGGGTCTTCCGGCTCCATCCTTTGATTCGCCTTGACAGCACACCCGGGACGTTGAAAAAGACGAAGAAGTCCGGGTGCCGGTAATCGAATATATTCGGACACTGCAAAAATGCGATGGAGATGCTTTCTTGCGCGAGGGGTTCCTTGGTTCAGGTTTTTTAAGAGTGAAAACGCTAGTTTTAAGAGCTTTGGGGTACTGTGGGTTTAGAGATCGTGTAGAAACGTGTTCACAGACATTCAGGCTCCTTTAAAACCAGAGTCAGACAGGGAAAACAAGCAAAATGAGCCTAGAATAAAAGCTAGGATATTTAGAACAAAGGTCTTCCGGAAGGGTTCTGCAAAGCGACTGCAAAAATGGAATTGAAATGCTTTTCGCATTTCCGGCCGAAGGTTGCGCTTCGTAATTCACACTTAGCAAATCTCGTAAATCAGAAACGTGAATAAATCGCAAAATTAAAATCTCGGAGCTTCAGAATCCCAATTTTCCGATTGTCGAGGTTTTACTAGACTGGCTGTAGGCCTTAGAAAAGCTAGCGAAATTTGGAAATTATAAAAATGCGCCGTTTTTGGCAAATGCGATATTGCAGGATTTCCGAAAATTCGAGATCATGAAAATTCAGGATGCCGATTTTCGTGATCCTAATAGGCACGCTACCAGATTCGTCAAAAACCTCCGGAATCCAGCCAGACTGAACAACCCGAAAAACAAACAAAATGACCCCCCGACTCCAGAATGGCTAGCTTCAGAACAAAAGACTTCCGGCGCCGTTCACCCGCCGAACCTGCACCAACCTGCAAAAGGTCCGGGTTGGCCGTGGTGCCGAAAATGAGGGGCCTAGCTTGCGCGGAGGATGGCTGCCAGGAATGGCCGTCCATTTCTCTCCGGAACAATGCTCAAAACGGGGCCCATTTGAGGGCCCTGAACGTGGTGGTGTGGCGTATGGTGGAATGGGGGGAAGGGCTTTGATTCCCGAGCCATAAAAACGGATGAATTCCGGATCGTTACAATGGACGGGGTTGTCGGTGATGGGGAGCAATAAGCTAGGTGGTCGGATAAAATGAGGGTTGCGGTTTTTAAGACGATGGGTTACGGTAAAAGGGGGTGGAGGTACCGTAATTTTAAAGGTTATCTGGTTTTAGGTTGACTGATGGGGATGCGGTAAATCTGATTAAATCTGATTGTGTAACTAAGCCCATTTTTTACATATTTTATTTTTATAGAAATTGATTCATTTAAATCCAAGGAATTCATTTTCAGACCAAAATTTTAATTTGGTATTCTGATTCTAGCTGGACTGATGGGAATACGGTAACCTTGCTATTTCTGAATTTGTTTGAATTTTATCTTTTCTGAAATATATTATTTTTTTTATCGAATATGATTAGCCTAAATACGCGAATTTAAATCCGATATAAACATTTAAATTCAACAATCACCAATCTCAAAATAGGACCCTTAACCCAAAAATCACATATTCGTAGACAAGGAACACCGCGTGGGCAACTACAAATTCTCCCCCAAAGCCCAACAACCTAAATTTACCCACCCCCCGCATCACCAAATTCACACGGTCACGGGACGAATTATTTCACACCACCCAAATTACCATCATTAATTATGAAAGAATACCGTCAAATGGTGCCAAAAACTCTAGAAAAACCAGGGCATTTCGAAGAGCTCATAAAATGCAGTGACGCCGCCCGCAGAAAAACCCGCCTCCCACAGCCAATAAAATTGATTTTCGATAGTTCACTGGGTGGTACTGGGGGTATTTCCAAAAAGGGGAAGCTTTGAGATATGAAGAAATCCAACCGGGGGAAAGGTTGCTAAGAATGTGTCAGCCGCTGGATTCGCGCGGCGGGACCCGGAGAGGGCCGAAAGGCTCGAATTGACGAATTGGGAAAATGCGTGTCTGTAATCGGCGTGGAATGGAATGTTAGTAGAGGGGGCATGGGAACGCGGAAATGGATGTGGTGTGATAAATGGGTTTAAACTTTGTCGTTTAGAAGGGGGAAGTTGTCTTTTTCTAAAGGAATTACCAAAACAAAAACCAAAAAAAGCAAAAATCGATTTAATGTAAAATGGATTTAAACTTGGTATTTCTAAATTCAGGCAATTTACCTATTTTGTGAAAAACTTATTTAGGCTACGGACTACAGACAATGGAAATTGATAGAGCAAAAAATCGGGTTAGAGTCTTTATTTTTCTAGGGTTGTTTATCTCGTTTTGTGATAGGATTTCCTAAACCATGCGGAAATAGCGGAACTTCGGTGCTTAAAAGTCACCTTATTTAGTTTTTATATAAAAAGAACTAAAAACCACAAATAATTAGCACTAAAAAGACACCAAAATACAAATCCGACCCCAGCACCAGATACGTGTTCAAGATTTCAAAACACCGCTGCCCCTTTCCAATTCCATAGAGCCAGTCCACGCCTAAGAATTAATTCCTGAAAAATAGAATCCGAAACCAGCATACTGTAGCCGGAAACCGCTTTCAATATGTCTGGAGCCCAATCCAGAAGCGCTGAAATGGCCGTCTGACTTCAAGCGGTTTTTCCGGCTCCTGGTGCGGAGCACAGCGCTGGCTGGCTGGTGGCGGCGAAGCGGTAATTCAAGTCGACCCATTAGTCAAGTGCTCCGGAATAGAAAATGAGGGGTGAAATGGGTAGAGAAAAAGGGAAGGAGAAGGGGGATGGAGAAGCTCGAGTAGCACGTCACACAATCACACACATAAATGTGCTTAAAATAGAAACGGAAGCGCGTGCTGATGGGGGGCTGCAGATAGATTTGGAGTTTTGGGGGGCAGCATCACCTATTCCGGACCTCTAAATATTTCTTTTCAGACGCGTTTTTTGCACTTGGTGCATGCTTCAAGGGGTCGTTAATGGGCTGTGTTTCAGGGTTTAGTCGGGCTTAAAAAATTCTCATGATTTTGAATTGATAAAAATGTTACAAAATGCGTAGGGATGTATTTTTGCATTTTTGTCAGAACTATCGTAAAAAATTAAGGACTTAATTTTAAGGACGGGCCTTAAAACGATGACATCGATAAAATGCGTGCTTTCACCGTCCCTTAAACCACGAGAATTCCAATAATAAAAGTTTCAAAAGCTATAAAAATTCATGCTACCGATTTATGGTTACGTCATTACTGTTAACTAAATTTAATTGAAAAATTCACTCATACCAGGGTTGAAAAGCCGCTTCGCGACTTTTCAACCCTGGCCCCGTCTGAGTTCATGAAATTCTTCACTTTGCATAATACACCCGAACTGCGATTAAAAATAATGAAAAACGCTCCCTTCTTCCCGTTATATAGGCTACCGCAACTTCCGGCGTATGCTAATTTTTTCCTAACAAAGAGGTTGGCCGATTTTTTTAAGAAAAACTTAATTTTAATGTCGAAATCAATATATTTTGAAAAATCTGATATGCGTGCAGTCATCTACAGACCATTACGCGTCTAATGACGTATCAAACACCTCCTTACACCCCTCCCCTCGTGAGATATCTTCCGGACACGCTGACGGAAGTTGCATGCAAAGTGGCACACACACACACACAGACACTATTTTTTTATATATAGTAGGCAAAATTCTATAATGTTATATTCTATAATAATAAGTTCGAAAATCTTTTTTTTAACAACTTCAAAACCAAAAAAACCTAGGATAAATCTAATAATAACGAACCCAACCCGCAAAACCGGTTTAAATTCGCCGAGTTCTGTGGTGTTTTGCGCACGGCGCCTCCTGATGACGTTTGAGACGACAATGCCTCGCTGACTCGGCTGCAATTTTGTCCAAAACGCCTTTTTGGGGAGGAGAAGCATATGCGCAATGGAATTCGAATTATTGCCAGTCTCATTTGGATTACGAGGCGCATGAGCTGAAAAAGAGCGGTGAGGTGCACGTAATTGTAGTGGGCTAGCTAGCCTAAACCGTAGCAAAAATTAATTATTAAAATTGGCAAGCATGCATCTATTATTTAAACATTTACTCACTTAGATGAATGATTTTTATATTCGAAATCAACTAAACAAACTCTTACTGCTTTCAAAAGCTTAAAAACCTCCTTAAGACTCATTTCCGTCTACAGATCGAATTCCCCCATTATTTGCATGTTCTCCTAAACCCCTATAAAAAGCTCCCGATCTCCATAAATAGAGTAAGAGGGCCGAAAAATGACGACTCGTCATGCGAATGAAGGGCAATCCAAAGGGATACTCAACGCAATGGGCTCTGTGAAGAGAAAGAGCTCAAAAAACAAAAGAAGAAGTATCGGCAGTGGGGGAGACACGCTCTCAACTCTTCGACTCATCTCATTGCTATTCTGGGCGGTATCCCCGAATAGATTGTGAGCGCACTCGAATTTATGGTAACAATGTTAGCGGCTTGATGGCGTATGTGGCTGGTGGGGGGACCGGATGTTGAATTTCGTACTGACTTACGTCGGCAGAATTTGCAGACGGGAGGCGTAAAGAGAACTGATTCGGCGTTTTCAGGATCAGGAATTTTCTTCGACTTTCTTGATAGTGATTTTTTAGAGTCCGTAATTCGTACTTTAGCGTAGTTGCTGCTCTGCAGAATTTCAGAATTTCAGAAGCTGAGCAGCAGCACCTTTTCATTTTGGTTTTCACTTGTTGGAACCTAGTCGGAAATTCTTACTAGTCTTCTCAGACCCTTTAATCAGCCCCTATACCTTAACCCTACTTGTCAATCCTCAGAACCCTCCTAAAAACCGCTGTAGGTCGTCCGAACCCCCACTTTAGATCGTTCTCACCCCCCTTATCCACACCCCAACCCCGAACACAAAACCCCTCTTCCATAGGGGTTACCTTCTGTCCTCCCCAACGACGTTTCCCGGGATTTGGGAGGCTGAGCATGAGCTCTCTCTATCTTTCTCTTGCTCCTTGGAGGCCCTTGGTTGCGACCGACTGTAAAGTGGAGGCCGGCGGGGAGCTGGGCCCTTGGAGGGGCTTCATCCCTTCCTTTGGGTCTGTGCTGCTCGAAGGGGGGGAGCTTGGGGCAACATGTGCGCCTCGTTTATCGACACCGCACCCCAAAAAAACGTGTGCGCCTGTGGGGAGGACGAGATTCGGGACGGGTGGGGGGGGGGAGGAGGAGGAGATGGTCGACAATGCGATGCGACATGGGGGGATGCATGCAATGTGGTAGTGTGTTTTGTTAGAGAGCATGTTGGGGAGTAGGGAGCTTGCATACGCTTACGGCAACTTGTAGATGTATTAGAGCCTGGATCGGCCCGCGAAAAATCTAGGCCGGCCCAAAAAAACAAGGATTTTCGGATTTTACTAAAGCCAGACCAAAATCGTGTAATTTATGCAAATTTAATCCGTAGTCCTTTAAAGCACTATTGGTACTGGAATGTTAGCGGGGGAGGTGATTTTTAGCCGTGAGAAAACCAATTTTGCTTTTTTTGGGTTCATACCTACTTGTTAACAATAAATTTGAATGTTTTTCTAGTTTTCAATTATTAGAAAGTGGCAAAAGATTGCAAGGTTTTTTCTTAAAAGACTTTTTCAGACATTTTTGACCAAATAGACCCGAATTTTCAACAATTTTGTTAAGTTTCTACGAGCTTTTTATATGTACTTACTTTGAAAAGGTCTAGAAAATGGGTTTTGATTTTCTTATAGGGCGCGCAGGATTACCCTGATTACTACGATTAGTTTCCCCCATGTTAACAGTCCAGTACCAAAATCTTGCAGACAGGCACACAACCAATGAGAATATTTTTGTTTATAAAACTTGTATAACTTGCTTGTTTTTAGTTTAGCCATTTCCCAAGTTCAAACATCATTTCATTTGTCAAACGCCATCCCATGTCGTAGAGCTCTCCAAATTTCCGGAGGCACTTGTTCATGTTGCCTACCGCCGACTCAACAACTGACGCTCCCCTGGAGCCAGCCTAAGCCAGACTCAACAAAATCGATCCAAAAATTCTCAATTTTTTCCCTGCTAGTTCAAAGAACCGAGCACCTGTTCTTGTCACTTTCCAACGGACAGAAAAATGGCCAGAAAAACTGGCAACATTGCTGTAGAAACATGCCTTCTCAGCCTCTTTAAAATCTCGTGTATCCACCCAAAATCTCCGATCAGATGGCCGAACAATTTATTAAGTATGTTGTGGTGGTGGTGGATTGTATTTCGGGGCCCAAGACAAAGAAAGGGGGTCCGGGCAAGAAGCGAAGAGCATAGAAAAAAACTTCATCATAAAAATTCCGAAACGCTACACCGAGACGGTAATATAGGATATAATATACGGGATTGTGGTTTCTTGGGGATGGTGATGTTGTGGGTGTTGTAGATGTTGATGTTCGTGGGTGAAATTCGGTGTTCTTCTCCCACATCTACCACATACGGCGCACGTACTCGCCGCGCACATCCCTCGGCGTGCCGAAAGCCGACATGCCGGTCTGGAAAATGGAGAATTAAAATATTTCTCGATAATATTAAATTTAATTATACCGTCTAACAAACCATAACTTTTAGCCGAGAGAACGAGCCCGAAAATAAGGGTCTTAATAAAAATAAAAATAACTTGATCTGGACTTGATTTTTTTAAGGAAAATAATTTAAATTTGAGCGTTTCTGAAGCAGCCTCAGTTCGTTTTGTTGTAAATTTAACTTCATATAAAATTCTCTTGTCTAATAAAAATAACAGTAGCTTACGAAATTTCCACAAAAAACTTGGTAATACTGTAAGGTGATTTATTTAAATTTACCGATAAAACGAAAACAAAAAAATTAATTAAAAATTTCGTATCTCGTTGCTTTTAGCAGAATTTAATTATATGGTTATTCACTTCATGTAAATTACCTGGTTGGCAAAGGTGTCCTCCTGTCCGGACCAGAATGGCACATCCGGTCGGCGGGCCATATCAGCCGGCAGCTCTTCGTGGGTCTCGTCGGTGAATGGAGTGTACACCTGGCGGGGCTGGCCGAAACCGGTCTTTCCAGCCTTAAAAAATAAATTATGAAGTCAGTAGTAGTTATGTGTACCTGTGAATCGAGGAAGTTGACTCCCATCTGGTAGGGGATCATTCCCTGCGAGCGCTGGGCCTGGGCGTTCAGCGTAGCGATGGTGGTGTTACGGAAAGCACCGAAGCCAGTCATGCCCGATTGGGAGGCACCTAATAAATAATAAAGATATAAAGAATATATAGGTTGCCCGAAAAATCTTCTTAAATTGGCGGAAAAAGAATGGACTAAAATGATAGCTATAATATCTGAAAGCCCTTGAAACGGCGGATTTTTGCAGGTTTTTGTAAAAATAACTATTTGATAGGCTGCTAAAAAACCAAAAACAGCTGTTGCATATAATTAACAGTAGCTTCGAGATAAACAACTTTTTATCTTGTTACCATGTAGTATATACACTACTATTTCGTTAAAAACGCCACCAACCTTCCCTCCATCCGGTGGTCTGGCGCGAGGTGGAGCTCTCGTCGTGCGGCATTTCTCCACGGGTCTCATCCTTGTACTTGGTGATCTCGCGACGGGGCATACCGAAACCGGTCATGCCGGACTGGTTGGCGAATCGGTTGGTTCCCATCTAGAACCATTCATTAAAAGCTGTGATACTATTATGATACCTGGAGGTGGATGAAGCCCTGGGAGTCGCGCTGCTGGTCGCTGCACTTGCGGACTGGAAAATTGTGGTTCAAGAGTTGTATCAAAAAGGCGTAAGTATCGAGAGCTGTTGAAAAGTTGCAAAAACAATGGCTTTTGGGTCTCTATATTAATTTGCTTAATTCTGGTCTTGTAAGACGAATGTTTCCGCATGTTAATAGCGGGTTTCTGGCCGAAAAAAAGCAAGTTTTTTTCAAAAATAAATGCAGATAAAACGGTGCTTAGTGATCATCGATTTCTTAAAGAGAATTTTTAGGATATTTTATAAAGAATTACTGATACCTTAAAACCCACCATCAACGATGCGCGGCATTCCCATGCCAGTCATGCCGGCCTGCGAGGCGAGCTTGTTGGTTCCGGACTGAAGCGGGACGATACCATCCGAAGCGCGGGCCTTCTCCTCGGGAACCTGGAATTTTAATTTAATGAATTTATCGCGTATAAATCGACGAATTATATATTTTTAAGTCTCAATCCATAAATCTATTTATATCCCCATACCTCGCTGGCTCCTCCAGTTCCCTTGGTCAGGTAGTTGACGTCACGGACGGCACCAAAGGCTGAAAAATTTGATTATCAGATTTGAATCCAAAATTACCTGACTGTCCCTTCTGGGAGGCATACTTGTTGGTTCCGGACTGGAGCCAGGTGGATCCCTTGAGGAGCTCGATCTTCTTCTCGTCGACGAGCTCGGCGAGGTTCTCCGACTTGACCTTGTCGATGACGTCACGGGGAGCACCGAAGCCTGGAAGGGGTTAATAATTTAATACAGTCGTTTATTTAATTAATTACTTAGTTTTGGGTCTCTACAAAGCCGAAAACGACTTTTATGTATCTTTAAGGACCTTTAGGTTGTTTTTAAAAATTCCCAGCCCCCAACTCCAAACTTCAACAACACCACTTCAGGCATCACCACCCCTGCTCAAGATTTTTGTCCTTTGCCCCCTGGAAAATCCCCCTCCCCTTCTTCACAACATCTTCTAATTTCCACGATACTGTGTTCCGGATCCGTAAGCCGATTAACGCTTATCTAATGAAGGCGACAGCACCCCCGAAACGGCAACCCCCGAATGTCGCCTGAATCCCTCTCGGAATTCCGCGGATTAGAAGCTGTTTCCGAGAAATCCCGGAGACACCCCCAAAAATAGGACTTTAACCCCGGGTGCTTCCAAAATCAGGCCTGCACCCGAAAAAATGATGAAAAATCACGGTTCACTAGACAGAAGCGCCCGATTGGTCAGGGTCAAGGGGGTTGGGGTGAGGCTGAAATCAGTGTGACTGTGACTTTCTTTCGAAATTGTCAATCCTTTAAGAATACAAGGTCCCAAAATGGCATCACAGGTTGGGGAAGAGGGTCGTGGAAAGGGTTTGATAAAAATATCTTTTGTCTTTGATCGGGGTTGGAGAGAGGATCCGGGATGCAGCTGCGTTGCGCTGGCATTTTAATCCGGTTGCACCCGCGTGGCTAGATACGGTAGGAGAAGCGGAAATTGGGCAAGGCTAGGTGAGCGGGTTCAGAGTTTCGGCGTTGATTTTTAATAAATTTAAGCTTAAAATTAAAATTTTGGGTTGAAAGAACGTGCCGGTCATGCCCTTCTGGGAGGCATATTTGTTGGATCCGGCCTGGATGGGGATGATGCCCTCGGATTTCATGAGCTTCTCCTTGGTGTGGAATTTGGAGGGCTTGCCGGCCGAGTAGAGTTGTTGTTTCCTGAAGGATTGGTATTTTTCAAGTGCTTTAAAAGGTATTTAAAACTACAAAAAATGTGTGTAATTTAGGAGGTCTAACTGGCAGTAACTAAACGTTTTGACGTTTTTAAAGTTCTAGGAATTCAGGTTAAACCCCTCCAGTTTCCAATTTTTTTTTGAATACCTGAGGACGCTCTTCGGCACCGAGGGCACATTTTGAGCACGACCTGGAGTCGGACTCTTCATACCCGATGGAGGGGAGGCCAATGATCGAGCCGGGGCTGGGGCTTCCTAAAATATCGACAATTTACAGGTTTGATGTCTTTTTCGATAGCATGCTAATTGGGAGGAGCTAGGGTTGATCTGTCGGGCAACGTGCATGGGTTTTTTACTAATGTTAAAATAGCTTATATAATTTATAATTTTATATTAAATTTTTCTCGCTAGTTTCCGGTACGGCCCCTTCCGAAAAAAACATTGATTTCCGCCAGACTGTCAACAGACGGCGGGAATCGAGGTACCTCCGGCTGGCAGCATCTTGGCCGTCTCTCTCTCTCTTTCTCTCTCTCTCTCTCTCTCTCTCTCTCTCTCTCCCTCTTCTTACACCTTTCGGGGTTGAAAGCGCCTCGGGGCTTTCTTGTTACACTGTCTTTCGGTGGGCTATGTGTGTATGTGTGTGCAAATTCTCCCTCGGTCCGAAGAGCTAGAACCCAACCGGAGGGGGATCCCCACACCCATTTAACGACCTCAACCTGGAACTCCTCAGGAATCGGGGTTCCAAAAATTGAGTAATTTTAGGTAAAATACCTAACCGAAATACAAAATAGAAATGCGCTTCTACCAAGCCTAAATTTTAAAATCAAGCCTGCAACGCAAAATTAAGCTTACCATATAAATTTTAGATAATAACATAAACATACCTAACTACCGATTTTAAATAACTTATATACTACTTTAAAGATACATGCAAGGGAGAAGTTGGTACGAAGGATGATGCAAAGCAAGGCGGGGGTATTTTGCGCTGGATTTTAGGTTTTGCAGGCAGATGCTGGCTTGAGCTTGGGTTTTACCGGTTCGTCCTCTTCCGGCTCGTCGGCCGGAGCCTCGGCTTGTGGCTCTTCCTGTGATACGGGAAAGTTTTAAAGGGATTTGGAAGTTTAGACTTAAGAACTTAACCCGGGCGATCCATAAGAAAGGTTTGAATAAAAGATAGGCTCAGGCACCAAAACGTACTGAAGATGTTACGCATAGAAACGTGAGTCGAGATAGCAATTTAATTAAGATTGAAAGCGTAGCATAACGTAGCGTCTCTATGTATAACGCTTCAATTGCGTATGAGCCTATTGACACAAAGATACTGGAGTAAAGCCTTACGCAACCGTTCATCGGTGTATGCGTACGACCCCGGGAACAAGCACTTTGAACGCCTAGGTGGAGCTGAGCTCGAGGTTGAAGCTCGATTATGAAACTTTAAGGTATAGGTCTCGAAGAGTATAGTATGGCCCCTTAAGGCTTTTAGGCTCCCGATTAAGCTCGAACCTCCTGTTGGGGCTCCTCCTCATCGACGACCTCCTCGTCCTCGTACTCGTCCTCGACATCCGACATGGCTGGGTGATGTGGGGAGGAGGGCCTGTAATCCTTCCCTTTCCGACGGATCCGGTCCAGATCTGCCCCGAAAATAAAAGTCCGTGCACGAGGAACAAATCGGTAAATTCTAGTGATGGTGGAAAAAGAGAATCAAATCTCTAGTAGATAAAATTTTCGGTTTTAATCGGATTTTAAAATAGCATGAACGCGCAAATTTCATAATATGGAACATGGAGGGAAATTCAATCTTTCCCAAATTCGACAAAGGTTTATACATAAAAAGGCATATTAAAAGGAAGTTTAAATTTAAAAAATACAGATAAAATTATAAAATCCAGATCAGAAAGATCGATAACTACTTTCTTCCATTTTCAACAAAAATACAGAATTATCGAAAAGACATTACAAGCTATAAATTCATAGATATTTCCCTCTACAAAATTCGGTTTCCGAAACTCTATTAACAACAAGCAATAACACCCAATCCCAAAAATATCTGAAAACAACGAACTATGCCGAGCTAGGGGGCCTGTAAGGGAGAAATTTGCCGGGGAAGCCCAAGTGAAAGGAGCTCGAGCTCCCCTGGGCTGCCCCTTAGGACCCACCCAGGGACCCAGCGGGGGGCGGAGAAGCCCACCCACGCTCAGCTCGGGGAGTCCCAGCTCTCCACCCAACAGCCTTCACACTAAAATCTCGACTCTCAGCCCCGTCCCCGATTGTGTTGATCTCTCGACAGACTGATGCTCATCCTCCTCTCGGTCTTACACGGTCTCCCCATTATCTTTTTCACTTTGAGGGGAGGGAAAGGGCCTAGGAGGCCAAGCTTTTTCCAAATCGATTGATCACTTGAGGAATGACAGCCAGACCAGACCGGTGGATAGCTGCTGTCCTTTGGGCGATTGGCTTGGTTGGGACCCTCCAGCTAATTATGATAAAAACGAAAGCATTCCATGGGGGAGGGGGAGGCGGAACAACTGATGAGGATATAGGAGGTGGGGCTTGATCAGGGGTTGTTTGGTCTTAAAGGGGCTGGGAAGGCATATTATGATATGGATCCGTAATTTAGGAATACGATGTACGTAGCTGGGTTAGAGTAAATACAATTGCTGAAAGCTAAGCCGATGAGAATGCACTGTTTTAAAGGGGCTGTGAAAGCAAAGGTTGCTGAGTTTTTATAGTTTCAAGCATATTTTGTAGTATTATAGTCAGATCAAAATAGATACAATATTCAGGTTAATTTATTTTGTTGTTTTTTGGTTTTTATTTGTGATTTCCTGGATTCGAATGCTATAGATATTTTGTAGGTTTCGGCATTGCACGTAATGTGCATTTGGGTTGCGTGGAAAGAGTGTTCTAGCTTGGTCAGAACACATACAAAAATTATGGTAATGCCCTATTATCAGTTATTTTGTGTGGTTGTAGCGTTACAGCCAGGTCAAAATACATACAATACACAGAACAATCCTAAAATTGGGCCCGTAAGGGAAATAAAACCTAGAGTTAAAAACTGATTATTTTAATTGACAGATAGATGTGATCTGATTTTACGGTTTCAAGGGACTATCAAGGCAAAACCTTGAGATATGCTCTAACTTATAGTTATTTTGTGTTGTTGTAGTATGATGTCTAGGCGAGAATACACACAATAGATAGAAAAATTTATTATTATCACTTTGAGGTAAAACCCGTAGTAGAAAAATTCGGATTATGCAGATTCATGGCGAGATCGTTGAGATGATGGAGATGTGATGATGATGATGAAATAGAAATCCAGAAGAAGTGAATTCCGCGTCTATCCAGGACGGTACGCCACATTACTTCCATTATCCAGCATCTCTGTTAGGATGTCCGTCAGAATTTTTTGTTCTAGTTGACGGCGTTGTCGGGATACTGTAACAATATCAATAAAATTGCTGTCATTTTAGAGTACTTTAGTGTATTTAAATTCTTTACAAAAACCTAACTAAAGCTATAAAAAAGTGTGAGTTCTTAAAATACAGCAAAAATTGTATTAAATAATTATAGTCTACAAAAACTCACCAATAGCCCGCTTCAAAAAATGATGCTCAACCGGTGCGGCCGCACTCAGGTACAGCAAAAAAACGGCGATGATAAGCGTGCAGAAAAGTCGTCGATGCATTGGGTGCAGCAGAAAAAGAAATCAAGGCGCAAATTTCCACCCGAATACTCTAAACAAATTACCCCCCGACCGGCCACTTTATAATGGTGATGGGCGGAGTCGCGTTATCAGCAACACATTCCAACCCTGCCCGGCGATCATACAAGAATTTATGACGAGCCACCGTCCATTTTCGGAAAGTTTGGAATAACCGGAAAGGGAAGAAGAGGGGGTGATCAGAGACGGATTAGGGTTAAGTTGGGTTCGTGTAATTTGTAGTTATCAGTTTTTGTTGGTTTTGGAGTTTCCTGTTTCGCTTAGGCCTAGGCTTGGCTTCGGCTTATTAGGTTTAGGCTTAGGCTTCGCTTGGGCTCAGGGGTTTGGGCCTAGGCTTAAGGTTTGGGTTATGCTTCTTATTAAACAGATAATCAAAGTTATGATTATTTTTGGGTATGGTACATCGAAAAATTAGGTCTTCATTATTTTCATTTTTAGAAGCTAAATGACATAAATAAATCTAGCTTCTATCCTTTTCCGTTTGAAACCTCCATTTTGCATCATCACCAATTATTTTCAGGATAATATTTACAATTTGACAAGTGCTTCCCACTACAGTTAAACGCAAGCTTCTGCATCCTAGATTTTTGGCTAAATTCCCCCAAAACCGCTGCAAGGCCGGGCTATCGGAAGCGATTGCGGGCAACGCCCCGCCTGGGCACTAATCCAAAGTGGAATCTGAACAATGTGACCCGGGTCAATGAATCATTTTTTCGCGCCCATCCCCGCAAAAAATATTTCCCTGTTTGGCTGGGAGACGGCAAGTTGGCAGAAGCTGAAAACAACGCATTCTGGGTGTGGTTGTATAAACGTATAGGGTTGGTCAACTTTTTATCTGGGTTTGGGAGTTCTCCAGCGGTGATCAGCAACAATTCACACTGGCAACCCGAACTTATCGTAAAAAAGCAGGCTGACGCATAGCTTCCGTCAATAGGTGTGGCACGAACCGTTAATCAGGTCCTTGCTTAAGGCGTGGATAGATTGAACTATTCCGAAAATAGCATGAATTAGGTTAAAAAGGTTACGCCAGATTGAGTCAGATCTGTTTCATTGATTTTTCTCGTATAATTAATGACTTGTGGCTTAGGCTTAAACGTAGGCTTAGGCTTGACCTTCGGCTTACGCTTGGGCTTAGACTAAGGCCTACGCTTAGCTTTCAGTTTAGGCTTGGGCTTAAACTTAGGCTTAGGTTAGGCTGAGGTTCGGCTTATTAGGCTACGGCTTAGGTTTAGGCTTGGTGTAGGCTTAGTTTAGGCTTAGGCTTAGTCGTAGGTTAGGCTTAAGCTTTGGCTTAGGTTTAGGCTTTGGCTTATGCTAACGCGTAAGTTTTGGTTTACGGCTTTTCAACGCCACCTGAGCAACAATATTAATATACTGTTTGCCGTTGAGCCCAATGCTTCACTCAGCAACCGATTTTCGTTTTTCGAACTTCTGACATCCTCAAAACGTCCAGATTAACCAGCGGAAGCTACAAAATCTCTCAGCGATATTCAAACAAAGAATTCCACCAACTTCCGGTACGATAGTGCACCTCCCCAGTCCCCGCCTGTGTGATGGTTTGGTGCCATTTTTTGTGTCTAGCTAAAAAGTTGATGTTTTGATTGAGCCATCCCCACAGAAAATGCCGATCAGCCACTTCAAGCTGGAAAAACAGAGCGAGCCGCCCTGCCTATTTGTACGCCTTCCGCCCGACTCCGGTTCAGCCTGACAAAAATCAGAAAGTGTTCACGAAAGTGCAGTCTCGTGGCAGCGACCCCGAGATTTGAGGCGCCAAAAAACAGGAGCGTGAATTTCGAAAAGAAGCTGATAATTTAGGGGGTTGAGGGGGTTAGTGCTGCAGAAAAAAAACAGCTGCAGCAACAATATAAACACGGGTCATTGGAATAGGGCGGCTCGCCTAAAAATAGGCGATTATTGGAACGGAACAAGTGGAGGGGACCTGTGACTTCCCGGGTGATATTTTTGGGCGCGACAATATTTTGGTCCCGGGGTTCGAAATACGGGTCAAGTGGCTTAAATATTGAGTGGGTTTCGTTTTGCGTAAATTCGAGCTATCACGATTCGCCCGGAATTCCGCTCTAGCAAAATTTGAAGGATTTTGTTAAGGACCCCCGTTTACTTTAATTTAGAGTACTGGACTGTTAGCGGGGGAGCACTTTTAGCAGGGGGTCCAATTTCTGGCCGCCTATACCATTTTATAAGATTTGATGTAGTTTTATAGTGTTTTACGTAGTCTTGATTGCTATATACTCATATAAAATAATTTCTAATTTTGAAATTTTTTTCGTTTTGGGTCATTTTTCATCCATTTTTGACTAAAAGTCAAAGATTTTCGAAAATTTTGATAATTATTTTACATTTAATTTTTACTTTTTATGCTTAAAACTGTACAAAATACTTTAAATTGTTTTATTTTGTTATATGTTCGTATCTGATTAACTGGAACAATGTTGTTCCTCCCCTGCTAAAAGCCCCCCGCTAACAGTCCGGTACCGAATTTTGTACAAGATTTATGTATGTTCCGCTTTATGAAATTTTTTATTATCAAAGTGCTCACTTATATTTTTTAATTTTTTTGGATATCATGTTATCAAAGAATTAAGTCAAATTTATTATTTTTTTAAAAAGCTCGACCAGTAGCCAAGGCTTCAGCAATTTCACCCGGCGTCTTCCCCTTCGTTTCCGGAAGCCATTTGTGGAAGAATATAGCCGCTGATGTAAGCGGGACGATAAAGAGTAGAAAGGATAATGAAGATGATACGGTAGATAGGGGATAGTATAGAAGAGGGGAGAGGAAGCAGAACGCGTATTGGCAAAGCACCTAAAACAGGCGTTGAACGGAGCTTCTCACCTACACCTACCGACAGTGATTGCACTTTTGCGCGAGAGCTTGGCGGGGCCATCTCAGCTCCGATGAACCAAGCAGTTGGCCCGATACTCGCACTAACAAGGAGACGTTTTTAGTGTGAATGGAGTTTTAAGTTGAAACCAGGCCTATTCCGTGCAGAATTTTGCGTTCATTCCGATGCTGTTTTCCAATTTTGCTAAATAGCTCGATTTAAAAAGTTACAGCTGTTTTAAGATAATTTTTAGGCCCAGAGTGGTCATCTGCTATGCTGTGCTACTTTTTTGTTATAACGTTTTAATTTTGTTTAAGTAGCCTATCTTGTAGAGAATTTTTTTCTGATTCGAATGGTATGTTTGATTAGTGCGCTACTGCCGATCTTCGATGGCTTACAGGGGTGAGAAATAGGCCGTTTTTCACCATTTCCCATACAAAAATCGCAGCCCATACCAAGTATCGTCGATTTTTTCGATTTTCAACAATTTTGAGTTAAATAGCTCATTCGATAGAGAAAATTTTTCTGAATATGACAATATTTATTTTTGGAAAAACAGCCGGGAAAAGCAGCTAGCAGATGACCACTCTGGGCCTAAAAATTATCTTAAAATAGCTGTAATTTTTGAAATCGAGCTATTTAGCAGAAATGGAAAACATATTCGGAATCAGCGCAAAATTCTGCACAAAATAGGCCTGGTTTCCACTCAGAACTCCATTCACACCAAAAAACGTCTCCTTGTAAGTAATCGCTTTTTTTAATTAATTTAATGCTTACCTGAATAGGAAAAGGAATACAACCAGTAGTGCCAAAAACCCGTAGCCTAGTTGATTGTTGTGTGTAGCATTGAACCACTAAAATTTTGGGTAATAAATTGATATAAATAAATAAAGCTTACCAAGACCATTAGCATCATTAGTGTGTCGACAATTGCTAGAGATATTAAAGAACCAATTACGAGAAGACGACGGCCAACCTATAATTTAAATAAATAGAAAAATTCCGGATTATACCTTATCGATTCCAATCGTGGCCACAATAGCTCCAACCGTACCCGATATTCCGCTTAAACAGTTTGCCAAAGCAGCTTGATTTTGGCTTAAACTTTTTTATGGCAGATAACCCTTCCACCCACCTAAACCCGATTGACTGCAGCAAAAATGTCCCGAAAAATGAAACAGCAGTAATACCACTAAATGCTACCACAATATTTAAAAGGCAAGAGAGAAGCAGTGCCCTGCGTGATACCCTGGAATGGATTTAAACACATTTAAATATTTTTCAGCTCCCACCTGTCCCGAAAGAAATCGGCCCAGTTCTCCGATTTTGCATGTTCTTTCAGCTCAAATCTCAACCGCTCCAGCTCATCTTTTTCTGAGTTTTAGATTCCGTTAATTTAGAAGTTTACAATCCACACCTTGCTTCCCATGATAAGCAGCCAAGCTTTGTCGAGCAGCTTCTTCATGGTTTTGTTTTAAAAGGAAAACGGGGCTTTCGTGGAATATCGAGATCGATCCAACAATCAGGACCTATATTCTCAAAATTTAATAAAAAAAAATACCCTACAATCGACGGTAAGCTTTCAAGCACAAAAGCCACTGGCCAGTGCGCTTTTTCACCCAAAACAAATGGCAATCCCAGGGCGCTGGCGATGATATAACCAATATTTGTGCTGAAGCCACCGAAGGAACCGATGATGCCTCGGAATTTGGCTGTAAAGAGTAGTTCAGATACTTTAATTTAGATTAAGTCTTACTGGGGCTGATCTCGGCCAAAAATACGCCATGTGCCGTTGTGCCGACACCAATTCCGATGCCGCTCAGAAATCGGCCGAGGATGAAGAATTCGGGGAATTCGAGGAATGATGAGATTCCACATAGCGGACCGGCGATCATTAGCCACTAGACGGATTTTACAGCCTCTTCAACGACTCACAATAGCCGCATAAAGCAGTGTCGTTGCGGGACCACGTCGATCAATTACAGTAGCCGCAATCCCGGCCCCGATTGCTGCACCGATGAAAAGCAGCCCAGCAGTGGCCGACCAGACCCATGATAATTGCGGACTGTCCAATTGGATACCGTAGCGGCTGGAACGATGTTTTAAAGGAACTAGAAAGTTAAAATTAAATCTATCGATAGTATGGAATAAAAATATTTACCTATGAAAACCAATTGATAAAAATTCTTGTAAAACCCCAGCCATCGGGTTGATGATAGCCATTTGATATCCAAAATGGAAGCCACCACCAAGCACTGATAATGCCGAGACGGCGAGCAGTCGACCCGTTGGTTTTTCATTGCTTCGACTTGGTTCTGGTCCTAAAATTAATGCTAATATATGCTTTAGCATTACATTAGGGTTTTTAAGTCTATACGAACTCCAAATTAAATTAGATTAAATTAAATTTAGTTAAAGTGATCGTGCAGGGGTAGAATAACCCAACAAAAAGCTACCGATAAAATGGGCTTCTTCTGCATGCATGGACCACCCCGGAATTCGTAGTGCTGGGGATGGGGCCCAAATAGCTTTTTGGACCTCTTCCCCCCAGTTCGAGGGCCTTTGAGTCACATCGATTCAGGCCACTCATCTCAAGGGTCCCTGCCACAAACGGCTACTTATTGAGTTCCGGTGTTAATTTTGGAATTATGCTAATTCAGAATTATTTAAAGACCATCTAAGGGCTAATTTCACTGATATGACAATTTTAAATCCAACGTACCTCCTTGAAAATGAGCAGCATGTGTAGCTTCCGTCGGCTTCACCCTCATTTGACCGGGAACACAAAATTTTGCAAATACCTGAGATGAAAAACATATTCACAATCAATGGTTTCGTAAATACAATAAATTTTAAGGGTCTGGGAGCCTGGATTCCCGAGAGAACTCCAAAATTCATGGCCGGCAAATGGATATTTGGGGGGGGGGGTGTAAAAATAGAGGGCAGATATCAATTGGCAATAACAAAAACAATCATGGAAATGATTGTAGAGGCATTACGATATGAAAAAAGAGATTGAATTTCAATGAATTAAAATGTAGAAAAGTCAGTAATCCAAACTTTTTATTCAATTGATTTAAGGTAAGGAAGAAGAAATTGGCGTAAAAATAAGTGCAAAATTTTTTCAGATGAGTTATAAAAAATAAAATTGAGTCTTATGCATTTTTTAATCACCCACGAAATCTAGTTAATTCGAACTTTCAAGACAAATCCACGAAGGGCAGAAGCGACACCCTGCAGCCACCCTGTGCTTTCACATCAAGCAGGTTTCCTCCCCGATACCCCCCTGTCGATCTCGTTGTGGTGATGTGCGAGGAGTGTGGACATGATTTGAGAAGAAATGCCATCCCATACAATACCCTCCACACCACCACCATCCATACCCATCTAATTCTCTGACTCTCCCATAGTCTTTCTCGCTATTTTCCATCTATCCCCTGGGGGGAGCGTACAAACGGCTTTTCTTCGCACCACCACCGCTCAACAAATACACTCCCGGCAAACAGCAAAACGCAACAGTATTGCGGGGGAATTTACATGCATAGGTTGAATTTAAAAAATGGTAAAAGTTTAAAGTAATAAAGTAGTAGTATGTATTTGTATTTAAGTTTCGCCGTGGCTACTTTGTCCCATTAGAAAACTGAAAAAAATTTAATTGCCTTAATTTTAATATATGTGTAGTTTTCTGTAACCAAGTCGAATTCTGAATAAACATTTATTTACATTCCGTCGATTCACGCTAAATACATACGGAATACAATTTTATATATCTTCGCATCTTATTCGATATAACAGTAAGTGTCAATGGTGTCCATAAAATACTTGATCTTTTGCTGAATATCTGCAATATCGCCTTCAATTTTTGTATAGATGTAACTCATCATCATCATGGGAGAGTTCTGAAAATAGACTCGATATAAATAGCTTTAAGATAGTCCGTTAACTACACCACGCTCCAAATGACATTCCTCTTAAATTACCTTGATATTGTTGATATCCTGCTGAACCCGGGCGATCAATCGACTGCAAGCATTGATGGTCAGATTCCGAGTTTGACCCATAGGTTGGCTTGCATATCGGGATAGATACACGATCGCGCCAATTTGAGCATCAACTTCTGCCTCGGACTCAATTTCGTCATCTTCATTCGAGACGATAATCCATTCGTTAAGTTGCTGGAAAACCTTATTTTATTCGGTTCGAAAATGCGGAATTCCTATTTCAATTCATACTGGTTCATTTTAGTTTTTAATGAATAAGCTACCAAGATATATTTGACGAGGGCATCAGTTGCAAAGAGTATCTCATTGTACTGTTCGTTCAATTCGCAGTAGAGGTCATATTGATCGGGATAACGACGGCTCTGAAAGGGGTCCATAGGTATCGATCGGAATCTATTGATTGCAGCTCTTTAGAAGAGATAGCTAGCTAGCAGCGGTTCTTTCGGAAAGGAAGGAAAGTAATGCGAAAAGTAACGAACCGATCGAAGAAGTTGGCTGACACATTGGCGAAGATGAAATTGTGAATAGGCCATATCAGATGACGTCATTGGAGTGGCTGAAGTCATTGAGGACAGCTGGCTAATCTGAAAAAACATTCGAATTTAATATTATTTCCATATTAATTGGTTTAATTAAAGATTAAATAAATACAGGGTGTCCGAAAAAAGCACCCCCCTCTAGCGGCGCGCAGTCGTGTCCGATTTTTATCGTTTAGGTAACTATCGAAAGCTCTTGAAAAGGCGAGAAAATACGGAGGGTTCATTTTCTTTATTATCTATTTTTATTAGCAAGTTTTACGTCCAAAATCCATGAAAACGGCAGATTTACGCGAGATCTGCATGTTAATCGCGAAATTCCTATTGAAAATTTACCTGTTTTTTAGAAAAACGTTGAATATCCAGCGTATAAAAATAAATCTGATAAAATAAATCCCGCTTGTTTTCTCGCCTTTCCGAGAGCTTTCGAATGGTATGAAAATTACACCGATCTGAGCTTCCCCCGGACCGCTAGAGAAGGGTGCTTTTTTTTGGGACACCCAGTAGATACTTACCATATCAAGAGATTTGGCGGGGTAGATGCCAAGTTGATGTTGATGTTGAATGGTATCGATTGATTCTTGTTGATCCATAATAGTAGTAGATACATTAGATACAGTAGTGGTTCGGAGAGTAGTGTCGATACAATATTTAGGATATTTACAATTGGGGGTAGTGGGGTGAATTTTGAAATTAGTTGGAGGAGTGAGAGATAATTGGAATCCATTAGCTAAAGCTTGGGATTTGGCTTGAGAATGGACACGATCACGAATTTGTTGAGCCAAAAGAGAGAAATTATGGGATGGAGAGGGGGTTTTCACAGATAATTGAGATTGAATTTGGGCCTGCAGTTTCATAGCCAGAGGGGAAATGGAACGGGTGGTGGAGGGGGATTGGAACATTGCCGAGGAATGGGTTAGTTGGTTGGAAGCGGGAAATGAAGACTGAATATTTAGAGATTTGGGGAGTTATATATTGATTATCAATAGGTATCTGTCGTATGATTAGTGAGAACACACTATTGGAGGCTTGATAAACATTAAAGGGTGGGTATGGCAGATGGAGGGAAACGTTTAGAGGGTTGGAGGGTGCCATGGGACATATCTACATTAATGAAGGGCTGGTGGTATTCAAATATTTGCCGCATTATGTGGCAAGATGATAGGCTTCCCATACCCTGAGGTCATTTTCGAGAGGCGCTCTCTTATTTCAGATATTTATTTTTATGTTACAATTTTTGTGGCTCCGTAATTTTATAAGTTTAGTTTCACCTTGATTTGATTCATTCCTATAATTGACCATTTTAATCCCTACGTGATTTCCCGAAAGGGGTCCCTCCGCAAAAATTATCGCATTTTTTATGGGAAGCACGTGCTGATAGGGGGCTTTGGTCTTTCTGTACGGGTTCACCAGTTTCTCAAACGCTCCGATTCCTCCTGTAAACAATGAAGCTCATCCTTTTCGCCGTCGTTTTTGGTGTGTCCTGTGCATTGGTAATTGTAAGTGCCTAAACGATTCGTCAGTATCAACCTTAATAAGTTGGAATAAGTTTTAAATGAACAATTTTCAGCCGAAGGAACGCGACTGCGACACCAAATGTGAACAGCTGAAGTGCCCACTGTGTGAATTTTTGGTGCAGAATTCTGAGAAATGGATCGGGAAGGAAGGGGTAAGATCTGGGAACTTATCTAGAATCCTGTATTTTTGATTTTGTCGAATTTCGATTAATTCCTATTACAGGAAAAAGACGAGGCAAAAATTGTTCAAATGTGTGAGAGCATCTTCAAATTCACGGGCCAGCAGTTTGATCAGGTACAATTCAGCGTTGTAAATTAGCTTCAACTTCAGAGAACGTTTAAACCTAACAAGCCTAAGCCTGAGCTTAACCTACGCTTAATAGAGTAAAAATATGATAGAATAAAAAACACCTAAAAATCTACAATTTTAAGTTCCTCTGCGATGAAGTAGTCAAAAACATGGCTGATGAAATCATCAAGGACCTGGAGGTAATACTTTGAAAGCAGTGTTCTAAAATTCGAAAAAATTCTTCTAAAGCCAAAATTCAGGACGAGCAGGAAACGGAGAAATCGGCTGAAGCTGTTTGCAAGCGCATCGGGCAGTGCCCAGCATAGACTGTACTTTACTTTCGGTGTATAAAGTATATTTATATATAATTCTTTATTCAACTACATTACAAAGATTCACATATGGGTTGATGAGCGGTGACTGTCGTCATCGCGCATACGGTATTCGGGGCGCCTGGGTGGTGCTTGCTCGGGGATGAATGCTTGGTTTACTTGACCATTCTGGCCTTGTCCCTAAAGATGTGTTGTAGAGATTGTCTGATTCAGTTATTCGACATTCGAATATTTGGCGGTAGCGCTAAAAATCTTACCCTTACCTTGAATACAAACGGATTTGTCTTATCAGCCCTTTTGCCTCGAATCTCGGCATCCTGGGCTTCGGCGTACTTCTGACGCAGCTGGTCGCGAATCTCGATTTGTCGCACTTTATGTCCAGCGGCCAACCTGAATCAGATTCCTTGGTTTTTTCAGTTTACAATAATTGTAATTGAAAACTCCTGCAGACTGCAATCTTACCTCATCAAAGCTCTTGGCAACTCATTCTCCAGCTTTCCATAGTTCGACTCCACCATCTGGTCCATCATTGCCTTTCCTTTAGTTTCAGGCTGTAATTCAATTTTGTATTTAGTAGCAATGCATCCGAACCTGGAGGAAAATACCCAGCACAAGTGTTCCCAAAAGCATAGCTTCCGGAATAGCGAAAGCCAGCCAAGTCCGTCCGTCAGTATCCAGCAATGGGCGAAGAACCAAAAAGCCGATGATAGCTCCGATGTGCCTTAAAATATGTTTTGTACCTAGCAGGGCTACTACTTACTTGACACCATGCAGAGATCCGAACGCGATGCACCTAATGACGGTGGGGTAACGCTGGGTGGTGATCTGGACAATGTTCATCCAGAAGACACAATCGTTGATCATGGTTGCCACAATCACCTGGATTACAAAATGGGTAAAATAAAATAAAGCATTACAATAATTGTGATGGAAACGTCTTGGTAGCTAGTTCCAGTCGCAACCAGCCCGATGACAACGCCGAAGAGGATCAGTTCGATCACTAAAGATAATTTCGACGATACAGTAGGCCTTTAATGCAAAAATGAATGTTTCTACCTACCCAGCGACAAAATAAACTGCAACTTCCGGCCGAATTTCGGGAAATAAATATCAAGGAAGATGATGATAAAAGGAGTTGGAAGTCGGAAGGCACCGTCCAAAAAAGTAAACATAATCGTCGAATCTAAAATTAAATACTCTAAATTTCTTTTAAGGGCCAGACCGTGCATTCCCTGTACAGTATAAAGATAGGTGTTCGACACCATAGCGTAGGTCAACATCGAGACAATTTGCATAACCGACTGCTTGGCCAGACGCATCGTCGAAAACAGATGGAAAAAGTTGTAAAATGGCTGGAAGGAGAGGCTTTTATTTTGAATGTGTCCGAAAGACGGACCTGTTCCTCCTTTTTGTGGATCGACGATAAGTCGTGGGTTGTAAAGCGTACTTTCGCGTTGTTCCATCGCCTGTGGCCAATGTCGTTCAGGACCTGAAAGAAACGTTCAGCAAAACGATAAATTATCTAAATTTTGACATGCAATGTACACCTTAAAAAGCGCTGAAAAAACAGCTTTAGACGTAACGTATGCAAAAAATTGGATTTTTTCATAAGAAACGGAAGCTATTAAGGTTGAAGGGCTAATTTAACTTTAATATGTCCAACTCCACAGAAAACTCACATCGCAAGCCTTATTCAAATTATTTTTTGCAATCAGCCACCGAGGGCTCTCAAGGAAAAGCATGAAAGCGATGGCCAGTGGGCAGGCAACCAGGTTCAACCAGATGAAAAAGTTTTGCCAATCTAGAAATAAAAATAAAATCACAAATTTTTGAAGAAAAATTACCTTTAGTTAAGTAGGCTATTAAAGCTATCGTCATATAGGCGAACGGCCATTGGAAGGCACCGGTGTGGATGATACGGAATCTGAATTGTGCCAGATACTTTTCTTAGTCCGCTATCCCTACTTGTTACTAGTGTATTCCATCATCATAGTAAGTGACGTGACCTAAAAATCGGTTTTAAAGGGACAGTGACAAGGCTTTGAAATATATGAAAGGGTCACTTACCTCAATAATTCCGTAAAGGAAACAATTGAATCCCATGATAGACGCATATGCATACCAATTTCGAGCGGCCGTACACATCATTGATGTTATAATGATTGTTAATTGGCCTTAAACTATGAAATATTGACTTTGTTAATTACCTGAGAAAAAGATGGTTCTTCTGCCCAAATGGTCTCCAAGATGTCCTCCAATAACACTGCCAATTAGCTGAAACAGAATTAGTTTTCCGTCTTAACGGTGCTAGAAAGCGCGAAAATCGACCGTTTTCTTTGACTAGGTCTAGACAGTCCAGCGCAGACGTTTACGTATCTTTTAGGGGTTTTAAAACCCTGTCAAAATTAGCGCTGCATGTTTTATTTGCTATCAGAGCCGTTCAAGTTCAATTGAAATGAAACACTCACAGATCCGCCGGCTTGAATCACTTCAATCCACTTGACCTTGTCCGAGTCGTCACAAACCAGCTTGAAGTCGGCGACAAGCGACCGAAATTCTACCGAATCGACCTTAATAAACACCAAAGTCAGGATATCTGGGTCCACCACTCACGATCGCTTTAAACGACACGCATTGCTTCAAATCATCGCAATTTTTGCCCTCCGACGTCGACGCTTTCACCTTTAGGATCGTATTTTGAGCTTTATGCATCTCGACTTACGACCCCGGTTGTTCCGTTGGCGTATGTGCAGTTCCAGTCGGGTTCAAGGGAGCCGAGAAGGTACATGAAGCTCGAGTTTCCTAAAATTGGGACGTTCCTCGGTACCGCAAAAGAAACCCTTAACTTGGAAAAGACACCCTGGGCTCTACCCTTACGATTATTTGCTGTATTACTGTGAAAAAGATGTAGCATCTACGATACCTATTCTGTTCGTTTTTTGTATGACAGGGGAATAAAAACACATATGCCATAACACTTAAATGTAATAATAAGTACTTAAAGTATTTAATATGAAAATACTGAAACCCTTAACTACTCTGGTTAATTTGGATTAAACCTAGCAAATTGAGGGTGTCTTTTACCCAAGAGGTCTTTTAAAAGGTTGTCTTTTACGGATTACATCTTATTCTTATTTCCCATGCTTCAAAAATGTCCACATTTTCTTAGACGTTGCACATTTCCTTTGCCATTCAAATCTCTTACTATCCCAATTTAACCGACTCCACAGATCAATATCAATGGCTTCTGCCGACTCCACGTTTAGCCCCCCCCCCCTCGTTATCAGGGCAATCGGCCAAACACGGTATTGCGTACGTCCAGCTACCCCCCGAAATATTTGAGACGCTTCATCCCCAGATGATAAATTGTAAGCCGATTCCCCGGCGGCTACTGTTCAGATTATTAAAAAAGAGTGGAAAGGGTTGGATTCAAAGCTTAAGACGAAGCGATCGACAAAAAAAAACGATGGAAAACTGGTCATCAGTCGACGGAAATTAAATAAAAATAAGCACCTACTCAATAATAAAAAAACTATTTAATAAGGTTAAAAAAAGCTATGTAGAGCCCATCAACTCTTCAACAAAAATACCCCACCTGCCCATTCGATCGATGCGTACAGAATCACGATACAGCAGAAAATTTGGTACGGTCCGAACGGGTTGATTTTTTGAAGCACCTTAAACCATTTTAAAGCTCAAAATGCCAAGCGCCAACCTCCTCGAAATGGGTGTAGAAAACGACGTCCTTTCTCTTTTTATGCTTGGTGGCAAACACCTGGCGTTTAGGGCTAAAATGGGAGGGGTATTTGAACGTCGTAAGCTCTAGTTAACGTAGAGAATACAGAAAATACCGTATTTCCTCTAATATAGACACAGAGCTTCATTGATCACCTTGCAGTCTGAGGGTAAAATTCATAGGTTTTGACGAATTTCATTGGTTTTTACCATTTTAGCCTGCGTTATATTAGAGGAAATAGAGACTTTTTAGTTACGTAAGCTAAATGGCAAACCTGGCAATCTCCTCGTCGTCAGAGGAGGACATCATCCTCGGGTCTCGCCTCGCTCCAGGCAAGGCAGTACTCTGAAGGAAGAATGCCGCGTAACCGCCCTTATCAGAGGCGCCTTCCCGAAAAGCGCCAACCAATTTACAGCGCAGCGTACTCACTCAGTGGTCCCCCAATTCCGGGTGGTGAAAATGGAGAGCTGATCTATCTATTGGGTGATCAAGTTAGATGGTCAAAAGCAGACGATAAAAAATGGACAACATGACACCCTGAAAAGCGACAGTTTCACTAATCGCAGAAAAAGCGCTACACCGGCCTTTGAAACCCGGCTTTAGTGTTGACTTGAAGTGGTTGCTTTCAGAACATATTTCAGAGAACTTTTGCGCGCAAAGTTAAAGAAATGTTTATTTGAAGGTGATACCCTCCGGCGGGACCACTTGCAACCAGCAGCGTCTGGAAAGCAATAAATACTCTGAAAACGCTTTTTCCCTTTTGCTATTTTAAATCCTTTTCAAGTATTCTTGATTTTATTACCCGAAAACCTCGTATAGCGTACGCACACTTACATGTGGACGAACTGTCCGGGATTCCGTTAGACTGTAAATCGGCGTGCTTCGTTTTTTCGCGTTTTTGGAAATATCTCCGTTCTCGAGTGGGATTTTTGCAATTTCGTTTGTATTAGTATCGCATTTCGAGATTTCCTGCATGTAAAAAGTGCGTGATCCGGCATTTTCCGCGGCTCCGTTTCTGTCCAAAGCCCACCAGCGTTTCTATCGCGTAACCCATTCCTTTTGATTTGCCGAAACCACGCAAAACCTGAATTTCAAACTTGTTTCCTTTCCAAATGTTCCTCAAATCTTTTTAGATCAATCTAGAACCTAGCTCCTATGCGAAACAACAAATATTTCCTTTCGTTGCACTTTTTTAGAAGATTTTTCTTACACTGGGCCCTTTTCATCAAATGCTTTCCATATTTCTCTATTGCTGAGAAAATAACACCGTTTCTTTTAGGTTTAAAATGATCCAACGATGGGCATACATTCCTCGGATGGTGTCGAAGCAACCTTTCGTTTACCACGCAAGGACATTTATCTTGGGTATCGAAACGAGGTAAATTGCGCCCAGCGTTCTCACTTTACCTGTTGTTTTTAGTTGCGACGACACGGCGCTGGCGATTATTCGTGGGCGCAAGGTTCTAAGCAGCCGCCGTTTCGCTGATCGCCGGCTGCAAAATGTGATGGGCGGGATTACTCCTTCTCTCGTTGCTGACCAGGTATTTTTGGAAATGAATTCTGTTTTTAGTGCTTTTTCAGCACCGTTCATGTATCCCTGGGCTGCTGGAGGAGTGCTTGACGGAGGTTCGCGCCGGAGTGGCAGATCTTGAAGCGGTGGCTGTCACAAATCGTCCCGGATTGGTCATCGCCTTGAAAGCTGGTGTACAACATGCATTGAGGATTGCAAGGTGAACATTTAACCATTTTTTTAAAAGCGAAATCCTGAATAAAAGGTCTAAACTTGCAAAAAATGATGGCTTGTTGGCCAAAAATATACGAAAAAGGTGACAAAGGCAAAAACCCTCCGTTTTTTGGAGACATAAAAGTTTTATGATTTTGTAGCGCTCAGAAACTCCTGACAACCTAATGCAAAATACGTTTGCTGTTACTAGGCAGTCTCCTACTCATTTGAGAAAGTGTGCCTTGCTCCTGCACTAACTTTTTTTGCGTTGTTATAAACTTTACGATTTTAGGCGAGCTCGCTGCAAGCTGATACCCGTACATCACATGAGGGCCCATGCTGTATCCTCTATGTTGGTCAATGAGAAGATACAGTTTCCATTCGTCACAATCCTCGTCTCGGGCGGACACTGCCTATTCGCACTCTGCCGTTCGGCGTCAGATTTTGAGCTCCTCGGCACGGCCATATCTGGCTCACCGGGCGAATGCCTCGATAAGGTAATTTGGATCATACAAGTGACGATTTCTCTAGAGATTGGGCGTAAGCTGAACCTGACCACTTCATTTCCGGATTTACATGTTGGTGCAGCAATTGAACTTCTGGCTTCTGGGTATTTAGCGCTTTTTTTCCTTTCATTTGGTTTTAGAGCTTCGGCTTACGGGCACCTACGATACAACGTGAAGGGCCCTTCCACATCTGGTGCAGACACTGATTTCTCTTCTATCAAAAGCTCCTTCCTGAATCTACTGGACCGCGGAGATTCTATTTCCGTAGAAGATTTCTGCGCGAGCGTTCAGGTTGAGAATCCTATACGTGCCTAACTTCTTTTTTTTAGTTTTGTATAGCACGGCACTTGGCCCAAAAATTTTACGCGGCGCTTGACTACTTATCAGGGACTAGCGACCTGGACGAGGTAATTCGCGATGGAGTTTTGAAATTCTTTTGTAGGTGGCGCATGTTGTCATCGGTGGCGGTGTGGCAGCAAATAAATATTTCTCGAACGCGATGGCCAAGGTGGCAGCGCACTACAATTTGGGATTTTATCAGGTTGGTCCGTACATTCTGTTTGATCTATCATCTTAGATTCCGACGCATTTATGTACCGATAATGCCGAAATGATCGCATGGACAGGGCAGTTATTAATCAGCGAACGGTATTTTTCGGTTTGTCTATTATTTTACTTTTTTAGAGCACCGGAAATCATCTTGCCGGCCGAAATTCCGGATTATCTGCACTGTTCGGATCGAGAACTTATCGGTATTCGCAAATTTCAACCAAAATTTTTAAATTTAGGTGCCGACCTCCGCTCGAACGTACCCACCCCGAAAAGAAAAATTGTTAGCCGCTCGTTACATGGCGATGCTCAATTGATGCTGAATGATGTGTATTTGTGACAGCGTTTGGTTTAAACATTTTTTCCAAAGCATTCGCCAATTTCACAGACTAGAGCAAGCAATGGGGCACACAGGGCCCGCAATGGCAACCTTTGAAAGATACAAGGATAATATAAAGCTGGGTAAGCGAGAGACTTTGGAAGATTCTGTTGTAAGCAGATCAAAGGAAAATGAGAGGGTAGTGTGTTCAAAGTTTTGGGACGTAGGAGAGGGATGGTGGTGAGGTGGAGATCAACGAGATATTGTAGCACCGGTGCCGGCTGTGTTCAATTGGGATTTGTAGAAAGAGGCGATTTGGGGTGAAAAAAGGGGATAGAATTAATATCACATACGAGGCAGCTCCGAATGAAGGAATACGACTAGCAGACAAGGGATGTGTTCATCTTTGGCGATGGGCAAACAACTAAATTAGTTTAGGGCTTGTTTTTCAAAAAAATTTACCTGTCAAAATATACTCTGTAAGCATCGAAGGAACTTGTGGGTTGTCGTCGTTGATGGCTTTTAGGACTGGACCACCGTATATCTTACAAGATTATGCCACTCACTTTTAATTAGAGATGCAAGCGTGGCATTATCTGGTGGCATCCCCTCATTGAAAGGTATAGACGCGGTCATGTACTGAAAATCGGGGTCATCAGTTATTTTGTTAACTTACTTGAGGTAGCGAAGCGGCATCGATTTTTCCGCCCTTCCGTTTCCTTTCATTCACAAACTGCCTCCTCTTATTTTGAATCGAAAGCAGCAAGGAAATGAACGAATTCTTCATCTCCTAGAAAACCTTGATCAGCTACCCTTTCGTTAGCTTACTTTTTCATACTCCAACTCGTCTCGATGTGCCAACTCCTCCACCAAGGTCTCGTTATAAAGCTGGATCAACTGCTCCATTTCCGCGTGCAGCGTCACCAACTTGGAATAACTCAAGGCTTCCAAATCTGAAAAGATTAGAATGGTTATTGCTAGACGTTATTAGCTAGGATGCGGCCGATGAAAGTAAAGGTGCGCGTCAATAAGCGGGGGAGTCGGGTGCGGCACAAGAAACTTATAAATAACGGCTCTTTAAAACTGTCTTTAAAACTTTAGCCATTGTTTTTAAGTTCCTTGTCAGAAAAGAAAATTGATCAGTACTGTGCGAATAAAACTACATATTTACCCGATGGCGTCTCCAGTGCACGACCTAAGGAAATTTTATGGTTTCGTTTTGACAGAAAGTAGCACTCTGGTTAAAAAGGTTGTTGGAGGTTATAGAGGTGAGCCTTGGCAATTAGCTTACTGTCGGAATTGGTGAGCTGGGCATGCCGCTGCCGCAATTCCATTTCATTTTGGTTAATGGTTGAGGGGAAGGGACTTCGAAGCGAAGAGTACATGGAATCCACGCTCTCCATTGTTCTATCCGTCATCATCGAGCCGGTCAGATCACAGGACTGGAAAGGTTCGTTTTATGAAGCCTCTGTTAAAGGTTTTTTATAGTACAGGTAGTGCCCGTTTTTCTAGTTCTAGTACTTCTATTTTCTGGTTTCTATTAATTCCAAAACGGCAATAATTGGTTTATTTTATGCTTTTTATTCCGATGATTCTATTTGATTCGATTCCAATAGTATTTTTTTATATTAAATTCCTATTCTATTAGTATTTTTGAAAAATTTAAGTCATAAACAACGCTGTAATCGTTCAAAATAGAATACGATATCCTATTTTCAGCCCTTACTTGAAGCATCTCGTCAATCTCCTCGATGACTTGATCAGCCGTTTGTGGAGGGGAATCGCCGGCAAACGGAAGTCCTAAACGATCCTTAGTTGCAAATGAGTGCGATTCAAACCGTGCGAAACGAGGGTGTGCATATCCAGTTGGTGCCGCAGCTCGTCCTCATCCGACATGTCGACGCCGTTGTCATCACCAGGGGAGTTGCTCTTTAATAATTATTATTTTCAAATAACCCGATTTCTAACTAACCTTTTCCCGCAACCCAAGCCCGGGCACCATATTTCGGCGGATCTGCGAGTTTGCGAAATCCAGCGGCATCATGGTGCCAAAGTTTCCGGTCAACGTCCACCAGATTCTGAAGTTTTGGGTTTCCGACGTTAAGTTTCAATCGACGTTAATTTGAAAGGAGTGGTGAGATGGAGTAAACTCTAAGTCTCAGGTTTTTTGTGAAAAAGGCTTGAAGTTTGAGAAGCTGCCGGTGTCAGATGTTTGGCCCGAAGGGGATGGAGAGGGCCCGCGAGTATCGATTCAATCTGCCCCATAAAGGCCCAGAAACGGGCCCACGTCTACCCAGGGGTGTCGCAAATTTCAAAACACCTTTGGAGTCTGGAGGGGGTTTTTTAGAATTCAGATAATTCCGGGGTTGTAAACAAGAAAGAAATAAAAATATTGTTAAGGATCAATGTCTCATTTCCAACGGACCTCTAACCAGTAGTTTTAGTAAAAGAAATGGCTATTTGAAACTCTAATAAGATAAATACACTGTTTGCGATTTTTTTAAAAGAAATAGGCTTCATACAAAAAAGGCAAGTATTTTCTAGATATTGACGTCCCATTTCTACTGTCCCTCTAACTATTGGAGTTTGAATAAAAGCAATAACTATTTAACTACGATCAATACACTACTTACGGCAGCCTTCTTCCGGAAATGCTTGTTGCCCAGCCCCGTAGTGCCCCAAATTGCCATCCTTAGTTTTCTTCGCCCAGGCGCCCGTTCTCACACGGCCCATTTCTCCGGAAACGCCAGAATCAATGGAAGTCAGGGACTGGAAGACAGCGCCAAAAAATCCAGTCCCCTCCTGACTTTTGCGTACCCCGCGGGATGGGATCGGGTTTCAGGAAATGTGGCCGAAGTGATTTTCGTTTGGGAGAGTTCGCTTAGGAGGGCAGGAAATTGTTTTAATTAGGGTTGTGTCGAAACGAGAGCAAAGAAGCGGCAGAGTTTTTTAGAGGGTAGAAGTTTACAGCATTAAGCTACTTACTGGCTTTCTGCCATCACTTCATCTTGAGAGCGGACTTGGACTGGGGCAATGTCTTCGGTTTTCTCACCCAAATCCTGGAAAAAAGGATTAGCATAACGAGACCGCAGTTTACCTTGAGACATTTGACAATTTTTTGATCAAGGTTTCCGACGAGGTCTTCCAAAGAGCCAGACAAATCGCCATCAAGTGCAGATTCGTCTCCATCGCTGCAAGCCGCGTTGGATTCATCGCTAAAATTTGAAATATACGGTATTAAACCCAGGACTTTCAATCATTTTTCAGTCAGCCGCAAGAGGGTTTTTAGAGACCGGGGTTCTAATATCGTTATTATTGGATCCCCTCTCTGTAGCTTCAGATACTAAAAAAAACACCTGAAGGAGCCCGAAAGCCCGGAAATTGCTCAGAAAAGCAATTAACGTTTTTTCCAACAGACCCGTCCCCTGAACGGGCCATTATGATAGCCCGGGCAGCTCTTCGTCTTATGGCGGTTTACACCAAGATTCGCCACTAGCCCCCCCCCCCCCCACTTTTATAAACAACAGAAAAGCCTTCCCTCACCAGCTTTACACACCCAAAAATTTACCTGCCATCCCGCCTGGGCCCCGCAAAGAAAGCCGTGGATTTTGCAAAAAATGACTGCAGCATAGCCGCCCAATAATATTCCGTAGGCGTCGGCCCCCAACAGGCTGACCGACAAATGCCCTTATCAGCTCACATATTTTGGGTATGAGCGATATTTCTCGGGCGGGTTCCGGCCCTCCGACCCTTACTCATCAGCGCCCCGAAAGGGTTGGAAACGGATTATTGCCTGGGGAGGGGGCTGGCCCTAATGCTAAATGACCCTTCACGCTGGGCCTACTTAGCGCTGGCTAAGCGTTAATTACGTAGAAATTGCCATACGTTGGACGGGAGGTATTTCTAAGGAATTTTGGTGGGATATGGTGATAATTCTAACACGGTATTAAACGGAAAATTTCATTATTAAGTAACGTTTTTGGTTTGGTACGGAATTTCGATACGGCACCAAGCCGAATTTGCGTAGAATTTTTTGCTGACCAAAACGTGCTTTTCAGAATCTGCGAAACGACCATATATGAAAAATTACAAAGCTCTGAATTGTGAAAATTGCCTAAAATGATAAACGTTGGCCGTTTTTCGCCCTTGCAAGCATCGTAACTTTCTTATTTTGGTGGTTTCGCAGATTCGAAAACCTAGGTTTTAGACATCTAAAAAGTCCTAGACAAAATAAGCTTCATCCCATTTAAAACTCTGTGGAAATTCAAAAACGTCTCCTTGTAAGCTTTTTTGAAACTCTACTCCACCGCCCTATAAGCGTTAGGAAGGCGCAGTTTTAAGTCAACTTTTTCTCCTTAGCGAACCCCGCCACGTTCGCTTCACCCTTTCCATAGCCAGGCACCATTACTCATCGACCCTTGGGGAAAGCCCCGGGTGCAATACTTTGGGGGGAGACCAGACCCGCCGTGGGGCAAAAGAGGCTAAAATGGCTTGCTGAAGGGCCCAAACGAGGGCCCAGTGTCCCCCCCCCCCCTCCTCCTCCCTACCCGCCGGCCATACCCGGCCCATCCTGGCAGAGGTAAATGAGAGCCCCCCCTCCCGGTCTCCGCGACAGAAGAAGCCTTTGAGAGGTGGGGGGGCTCAGCCGGCGTGCGTCGATTCAATTAGTCCACACAACCATCGACCCCCATTGCTTCTTCTGCTTCTTCTGGGTGGCCCATCTCGACCCCTTCCCCTTCTCTGCCCCCTGAATTATGCCCAAAGGCGCTGAATACAAAATTGGACGCGCGGGACGGGTAGCCGGGGGAAAAGCGCCTGCACACTCATATAGTAAAAAAACGCCATGCTTGAGCGATCCTAGAAACAAAACAGCCACACAGACAGATTGGTGCTTTCACAGCTGACCAGCGAAAAAGAAAGATCTTGGATGTTGGGGGATGGGGGGCGGGGGGCTCAAGTTTCTTTCAGCAGATTTTTGCAAGCAGCTGTGCGGGCTGGGCTGGGCTAGTGGAAAGACGTGAAAAAGTGTGGGTGATAGGAAAATCAACGGTGATTTTGGCGGGTAGTATGGAAGGGCTGTGCATAAATCTGTCCAAACAAGAAATTGTGATCTAGGAAATTGAAGGAGACGAGTTTGAAGGCTAGTTTGGAAAGGCGGTGTACCAAAAAAAAATTATATTTATAGGATTTCGTACGGAAATCACACATAAACCGGATTTTTTGTAAAATTATGGGCCTGTTTCGTTTTCGTTCTATTATATTCACGGTAAACTAATACCTTTTCACTAGCCTCACTCCCTCCCCAAAACTTTCAACCCACACCAGCCATTCAGGCAGGCAACTCGCGCCCAGTGAGAAAGGTGTGAATCATCCAACTCCCCCGGCTGTCCAAGGTCATAAGAATGTTTCTGCTCCGATCCCCCCGCCTGCACCAATCCCATTCGGCTGCATCTGATTATGCAATTTCACCCCCTAGTTCTCTACCTTGACCGGGTCATTTTTTGTGCCTCCAACGGCCAGGGAAATGATGGGCTGAGATGACAGACTGCGGAGAATTCGGGGAGGACAAACAAAAACTTACGGATTACTGTTCCTATTGCTGTCCATATCGTCATCGCACCGAGCCAGCGGCACGTCGGGCACCCGGATCCCGTCGTCGTTCATCTACAGAAACTGGGGATAATTTAAAAGGGAAGAGGTTAGGAAAGATAAAGACACATGATTGGCAATAAGGTTTTTTAGTAGATATGCGAGAAATCAAGGAAAGGTAAAATTGTCGTTCGATAAACCCGATGCCTTATTTGGATCTTAGCCAGTGAATCGCTGAGATTTTCGTAAGTCCTAGCTTCCGTTTTCCAAAAATTCGGTTAAAATTATGCAAATTCTTCGACTAAAATTCCATTTTATAGACAAATTACAAATTTCATCATATAAAAATTTTACCGAAAAAAACCGGAATCCAGCTTTATAAGCATTCTTGTTATTAGCTTATGGTCAAAATCATGCCTGCCACTAAGAGTATCAGAATCAACATCTTATCGAATTCTTTACACCTAATTTCTAGCCAAAATTCAGCATCCTTGTCCCCAAAAAACCAATTCGCCCCTTGACAGATTAGCTTTCCTAGTTTCCGAGCCGGGCCCAGGCTGTGGTGCGGAAATTCATCGAGACTTGCCAGTCAGGGATGTCCGTGGATGCCTGGCCCAACTGGGAATTCATCCAAAAAAATAGACGGCCGACTCACGACGGACGGAAGGGGATGGGACGAAGATTCGAGCCAATATTTGGTGACCTGCGGGGGATAGGGTTCCATTGCCCGGGGGGCAGCATTCGCGCACTAGGCGACGCATGGCTGGACCCGTCATCGATTTCAGAAATTCTCCCAGGAAATGTGGGGGTAATGTTTGAAGGGAGGCGGTTATTTAGTGATTTTTGAGGTGAAATGAGAGTCAAGAGACAGCGAGGTCGAACTGGATATTTTTTCTGGTTTGGCCAGGCGTTCCTTTAAACTTTCACGGGTAATATTTACTAGCGTAAGCGTTTAGCTGAGGGACTAATGTGGAGAATCTGAGGCCCCAGCACTGGAATCCTCTAGTTTTTTTTTTGCTAAAATGCTGGTATTTAGAGTCGCGCAGTTCTGCAAAAGGATAGAAACGGAAATTCGGGAAAGAAAACATTAGACAATTATTTTTGATGAGTTGAACAAAATCTACAACCTAGGAAGTACAGATGAAGACGGCTTGGCACTATAAAAGAATATCCAGCCGTAGAATTGTGCAGTTCCAAAGCCCTGAACGGGAATTGCCGAAAAACGAAAAATATGCAAATTGTTGGCGGTGTGCGGGAACGGGGCGGACCGCTCAACCGCCACGGCGCTGGTAGTCGACTAGGGTAGAGCAGTAAAAAGTGTTGGTAAGCGGAAAAGTCAATATTGGAAGGGGGGAAGGGTGGAGGCCGCGGGACATTCCGAAACAATCGGGCCTCGTTGTGTGTATGTGGGCTCCTCTAGGGAAGAAGGGGAAATGCAGAGGAAGGGAGGGGCCACCAATAGGAGGAAGGCTGGTCCCCATGAAATAGCACGACAACCAAAGAGAACCCAGCACTCCGCTTGGAGAGCATGGCTAGACGCACAAAATAAGGGATTAGAGAACCCGGGATTCGTGGAGGGGAATAGCCACACCCGCGGTGGACCTTCCAAGCCCACCGCCCGGCCCCCGGAGAGGGCCCAGAAATAAACGACGAAAGTGAAGCCCAGATCCCTTCTTTTCCATAGACAACAGAGACCCCCGCTTAGCTCCAGCAGCAAAAAAGCCCAACTGAGCGCACCCCGCATGAATACCATAAATGGGCAACGGGCGCCCGTCGTCCCGGGCGGCCCCGCTTCCGACTCTCGACTGAAAAACGGGCGATCACACTGCGATTGACGGGATTACAATAGATTTGGTTGCGAAACCGGAAACGTGCGGGTGGTTTTACCTCGTTTTTGAGGGTTTATAGGGTCGATTGAGGTGAGCGTAGTGACGAGGAGTCAAGGCTAAAAAATAAATAGAATTATGGACGCGATTTCAAAAAACTTAGGAGCAACAACGCCTAGTATGACTAAAGTCACCGTTCTCTGATACTTCACACAACCCAATACGCATACACTTATTGAACGCTGCTACACCCACACAAGTGCATCCCCAGTAACCTAATTTCTCGTACAGCTTTGCCGTTTCCACAGAATCCGCCAAACTCTCTGATAGCCCCCCGGCGGCCGAAAGGGCAGCAGAAGGGGATTGGGGGTGGAGAAGCCCTCGGCTCTCTATCTCACACTCGTTCAGAAGAGAAGCTGCTATTCTCCTTTTTCCGCGAGTGTCGTTGCCAGAAGGTCCTCCTCCTCTTTCTGTCGGCCATGGCTACTATTAGACGCGCGAGGGGCCCCCCTAAAGGGATAGTTGGTTGGTCGGCCCAGAGCAGGGCCCCCGCAAAATCTGCTCGCCAATCTGCATAATCTCCGCTCCCGACCAGAAGGCCGCCGGAGCCGTGGCCATCAATCGTTGGGCTCTGACTGACATCTGCCACTAGTGGCTTATATCCTGCATTAGTAAACTTGGCAAATCCGGGCGTGTCATCTAGTACCATTTATTATAGATCTTAGAAACTCATTAAGCCAAGTACTTTTCATAGTTGGAACGAGAAATGGCATAATACATTTTTGGGCGGGGGAATCCATTAAACGTCGATCCAGCGGTGATGGTGTAGGCTCCCATCTCGGGGTAGAACAGCCAGGAGCCGATCTCCAATTTCGGGAGCAGTACGTTTTCCTGGACAATCGTGCTTGACGTTCGAGAGGAAATTGCAGTCAATTTACCTCAACTTTATCAGCACCATCACATGTAGGTCCCCAGATCGTGGTTGGGTGAAGGAGGTCGTTTTCTGGCTTCTAAACAACGACATGACGGGACTTTGCTCGAGACTCACCCTCAACGGGATTCCTTGGGGATGGATGTGATCGTACAGTTTACAGTTGAACGATCCAAAAATCCCGTCGTTGATATAGTAAGCCATATGATTCGGAGCATCTAAAAATAACACATGCTCACAGTAAACTAAAGATGGTATTTTTATATATTAAATTCTTTGAACTTTTCTACTAGCTGCTCATACCTAGTTTTCGCGGCGCCAAAGCAGCATGAATCACGTTGACACACTCGCAGATGGGTGCCGCAGCAAAGAACCTAATCTTATCCGTTCCCCCACAAAACGGAAATGAAAACACCGGCCCGGTTCAGCAATGATACGGGTGGAATCATCGGGAAAGTGCTTGTCCAGGGCCCCGCGAACCACCGCCGCTATCTAAAAATTTATTTTTATTTTTTCCAAATTGGTGTGCAACCTTGTCGAATGACATCTTGTGCTCGCCACCGGGAAATCCGCCGCCAATATCTAGAACATTCATCGGGTGGCCTATTTTCAATGCAAAATCAAAGAGTCGTCGTGCGTGTTCGATTGCCAGCTTAATTTTTAGTTGTTAGAAGTCAAGAAACATTGGCAAACCTCATAAGTGGTGAAATCATTCGCTCCAGATCCGATATGGAAACTATGAGTACATTCGATATATGGCGGTTAATATTAAGTCTTACCTGATGCCTGCCACATCAACTTTCAATTCTTTAGCACGGGTTAGCAATTGGGGAGCTTGATCAACCGGATCGACGCCAAATTTCGTGTTCAGCTGACACAACGCGGTTGGATCGGCAACAGCTATTCTCAGTATCATCCTGAAAGTTGTAAATTATTGTTCTTTCAAGCCCACTTCGGATTTTCATGATGAGCCCGAACCTTCAAAAGCTCTTCTTCCGTATCAAATGTCATCATCTCAACATGCTCATTGTTAGCGGCCTCAAAGCTCGAAGATTACATTAAAACCGTAGATGATACCTTCAAATGCTTGATCGGCTTGCATGGATGAGCGTAAATAATGTTTTCCGGTTTGCATCCATGGATTAAGACCTAATTATTCGTTAGATAAAGATAAATTTTCTTACGTCTTCAATTTCTTGTTGACTCGCGCAATCGAATCCGACGCCCAAATTGGCGAGCACTTCGACGAGCACCTTGTCCGGATTGCATTTGACCGCATAGCAGGGCTATTTTCTGAATTTTTTTAAAGAAAGAAAATAACAACCTCAACTCGAGGGAGTTCTCTCTTCCATTCATCAACTTTTTCGATCAACGTGTCAATATTTAGTACCATGAAGGGATCATCGTTTCCCTGAATCAACTAAATCCTTATTTAATGTGAAGCCTAACCTGGTTCTCTTGGGCAAGGGCAAACATTTTCGCGAGGTCGACATCGCCGGGTAACTTTTCGAAGCATTCGATCTACAAATTATCCTATCCGCTTATATTCGACTACTATTAAGGACGCTATGGGCCAATTGATTGCCAGCCTGGTTTTTCTTCGCCACACGTACTTTGCAATGTTTTCGTAAAAAATATTGTTATTTCAAATAGCCGTTTGGACGACTCTGCGACTTTCTAGAAATGTTTACTTTCAAGGTTCCCACGTCTCTGTATTGTGTACTCCAGCCTTCCAGCCGCCTGGGCAAAAAGCAAAACTCTGGAGGCGCTTGGGTCCGAACCAAGGTCTTCCTGATTTGCGCTGATGAGTGTGGGGGACGTCAGGTGATAGATCACCTGGTCAGGAACCCCAAACCTGACGCATTAACTTTACTCAACTTCGCAATCAGGCGCTCTACCACTGAGCTACGCCCCCGGGGGAGAGGGGGCCTCGAAAGAGGTTGATAGCCATAGCCGCACTAATAGACCACACAGCCGGCACCCCATGCTGCCACAGGCACCCATTCCCGGCACCGCTGTGGCTCAGTAGGTAGCGACGGCGACTCTCGTTCTCTGGGTCGGGGGTTCGACACCCGCCCGGAACATTGCTTTTTGCTTTTTGGCTCATTGGATAGGCATTGTTTTGGCTGACTAGGAATAGTAGTAGAAGGCGTCGCAGACCGAAAATTTTGATAAATAACGTCGTTATTCTTACAAAAAGAGGACAAGCTCCTAGGCAGAAGAGGATTGTATCGGAAAACGGGTTGTTTTGGTTTAATTCATGTGCTCAAGAAAAAAAGAATATAAGATAATCTGCCCAAAACAATATACTTCTTTATTCGCTGTCCGTGATAGACATCGTTTTCTATTGTCTATTCATTTTCGTCATTTCAGGTAAAAATCACGATTTTAAGATCCACGTGTGGCGCAGAAAAAACAGAATGGCAATCAATTGGCGCATAGCGTCCTTAATAGTAGTTATTCGAAATTTGGATACCTTGCGGTCGTAAAGAAGCGTCTCAGTGCGCTGGATTCTCGTCATTTCGGGGAATTCAGTTTGAGTCGCGAGATTCTAATATGGCCGGCTTATCACCCCGGCGGGGGAGGGACATGGATTTTTTTTCCTTGGATAGGCATCCTATCTAGACAGCGCAAAAATCGGATGACCAGGCGCAAAATGGCAATTCCTTTTACCAAATATGCAAAATACAGAAGGAGATACTAAAATGCATAGTAATTTTATTAACAAAATGGAAGAAGGACAGAAAGGAAAATTGTGGTCAACCAGAAAAACCCATAACTCGGGGCGACTTTCGCTGGCGGCATATAATCAATGTAATAATCAACACAACCAGCCATTTGAAAAACACAAGGTAAGGTCAAATTATTTTGTTTGCTTGATGATGATGTCGTGCTCCTTTTCGTAACCGTCGATTTCGGTACATCATAAAATCCAGCCGGTAGATGATCATACACATCTTGATAGAGGTCGCTGGTTTGGAATTGATTTTACAAAATCATGAAATTTACATGTAATAAGTGTATTGCTCCGGTGAACCGATATATTCAACGACATCTGGATTTGTGATACCATTTTCGACATTTTTTGCATAGCGTAGTGCTGGGGTCAAGGAGGTATATGCCGAAAAAAGGTCTAGGTATGATTCCTGAAATTGATAGATGCTGGTATATAAATTTGAGTCGTACCGTTCCTCCCAGCGCTTCATCGATGTACATCTGTAAGTTGCACTGTATCGTAGCCGTACCATTATCCAATCGTTCGTCTGTTAGAGACGTTGATGGAGTTGTGCAGATGCCGTATAATTTTCCGGCACCCCAGTTTAGTCCCATCTAAAGAAGACGTCGTTAGTATTTTTGGTTCTAAGAACAAACCTTAAAATTGTCTGTAACATTAGCATAGAGACATCCCATCTCATATTTCGTGGAGTTGCCATCAGGGAATAAAATAATGTAGCAAGCTGGCCCTGAGCATGTTTTCTGGGAATAGGTATAGGGGAGTTGACAGGTTGACAGGTCTCCTAAAAATTCCAAAGTTTTATTAAAATAAGGCTGAACGTGTCGCGCAACGATACGTCATCAGGGCGCAGTTTTGGTTCGTGGAAACGTAATAGGATGGAAGACTGCTAGCAGGATTTGCAGGGCACTTCTTAAACAACCATTTTATAAACAATTCGGTATACTTTTCTACAACGACACCGGATCGTGTACTTTGGATAGATCCCATCAGTATGATAGCCCTGATGAAGCAACGCAACACAGCCCTCTCGCGCGAAAGCTGCATATTTCTCATCGGTGCTTAGGTCATCATCGATGATTGGGGAGGCCGAGCAAGTGTTGATGCTCTCTTTTTTAGCGGGTCCTAGCTGGAATTATTAAACAGTCACAATGTTTTTAATATACATACCGAAATTTGCTCATACGAACAACCCGAGCCACTACACTTCTCCGACTCGGTCTCGAGGTAGAGCCCCGCATACGATGCTGTACAGCTTACAGCCGAAACTGTTGTCAGATTTTGAGCCGACAATAATTTTTCGGAGTTGCAAGAAGCCGAACTACTGTAATTGGATGGATTTGCAAAATTCACAGACCTGCAATAGCACTGAATTATGTCCGAAAATTGAAAGCACTCTTTCTTTCCAGAAATCCGTGAAGAACATCCTTGAAATAGGGAGGTACCATTGTTCCAAATGACGCATGAAACCGCATTGGAGCAGGTTGTGGCGTTTCTAAATAAATTTTGATTTTTGTTAAAATACATACTGCTCCAGTTTAGAATTGTAAAAAATACAGTCCAATGCCTCGAGCGATCCTATTAATGTCAGGATTCCAACCAGAAGTAATATCATCGATAGATAAACAATTCACAATGACAAATCTTAAGCGCAAGCGGTCCAAAATCCAAAGCTCCACCTCCTTGGAAACTTTCTGTTGCAGGTGATTTTAGCTGAACACCTGTTTTTACTAATTAGTGACCCCCGATGGCCCGGCGGGGAACACGGTTACCCTCATTTCTCGATTGATCCCGTTTTTATAAGCATATACAAGTATTATGAATCGATTATCGGAATCGATCGAAGATGACTGGAACTATTACAGTTTGTCGAAATTCGGTATGTATTGAATAGGGTTGATAAAATTAAATGAGCATTCTTTTGTAATTTTTTTGCCTAGATTTGGACCCAGCAAACTATACAGCTGATGACTATATCAGCAGCGTTGTTGTATTTGATGGTGGAAATCTGTATCTGACGAGGTTTGACTGGATTAACTTGTTTATAAATTCATAGAACATCGACCCGGATTTATGGAGGTGTTTCGTTGGTGTTGACGTTGCTGGTGTTGGCTTTGCGCCTTTTTATCTTTCCGGTTTGTAGAAACTCAGATATTTTAACGAAGACTTTGATTAGCATCTACTATTCGAATCCCTGCGCTCGTTCTGCTTCACCAGTTTGTCGCTGCTCTTCATATCAGTTGCGCAGATAATCCAGAATTTTTGTCAGCTATACCATGGTTATCTGATGGTCCAAGCATTTATGCATATCCCCCTGATGACAACAGTAAGGCGGTCTTTTCGATCCTAATTTGTTACAGTACTCTTGCCCAATAATGTATGCCGCATGGTTGCTTCAATCTCTCCTTTATCTCACTGTAGTGCCGGCTACCGTCATCCAATCCATTGGCTCGAAAAAGTTCAAAGCTAGGACAGTATTCTTGGTAGGTATACACGGTGCACCAGGTAATAGAGTGGATCCAGATTTATCTCACAATTTGTCTTATCTTATCTATTGCGTTCTTTGGCATCAACTACCCTGGCTTTGGACAATCTGTCCTTTATTTCGATATCCCGATGTGGATGGTTAATGGATACAATGTATGGATTGTATCATACAGCACGCTAAAACGAGATTTTTAGCCCCTACCCTTGACCGGCTTTTCCCTAAAGATCAACCACATTCTGGACATTGTCGTGGCGGGCGTGATGATTGTATTTCTGGTACTCCTAGCGGCCGCTTGTCCGTTTGCCGGTTCAAAGACCCCGAATATGGGTGCTATCCGAAAGGAGGTAATTGGTATCCGTCTACTTTTCCAGAAGTTCTAGGTTTTCTGGACGTCTGTATATTTTTGTATTACCACCGGAATCTCGTTAGGCCGTGATTTTTTCATCATGGATTCTGATCCATCAAAATCCAAGGTAAAAAGGGAAAACGATTTTGTACGCGTTTCAGGATTGGGCTGCGATTTGCTACCTTGGAACCGTGGTTTGGGGTCTTGGAAAACCCATCATCTACATGTTTGTTCATAGGTTCAACTCGTACTTTCGATTTTCTAAAACACCCTCGTTTAGGAAAAGCCTGTGCTTCCGCAAGATTATGCCATAAATCCTCAGAACAATTGAACGTCATCCTCCAATGTAACCCCAAAAAACGTCATTCTGTCCACACTTTATTAAATCATCTTTTCGTTTGACTCGTTGAGTGACAATTTGAAAAATGGAATGTATATAGCACACACACAACATGTTGGTTGCACAGGCGCAGCATTTGGAAAATAACGGGGGAACCGACTCAACGAATAAATTACGGAAAGTGTCGTGCAATTCGGAGGACATATTTTTGCTAATCGGCATCTAAACAGTTAGCAGCAATTGACTAGGGGGGTTTTATTAGCATTCAAAAATTATGAAATTCCAATAAATTAACGGAGACAAAGTATCAAGTGCCCGATTTTCTGGTCATAGGCCATGGGTTTGCTCATCGGGAATAAGTGTTTGGGGACGGGGGGCCACAGCGCTTCACAATTCTAAGAATTTTACGCACACAAAAAGTCGAATACAAATTGGTCCAAGCTCTTTTAGAACGAGAGTTTTATGCGGGTGGATGAGGAGGCAAGTGGTGGGCGCGGAAAAATGAAATAAATATTGCTGGGATAGTAACTGGGTGAAAATGAAGTTATTTTGTGATGAGCTTGTTGGCCCTCTTGTTGGCAGATTCGACGCGAACCTCGTTGGATTGGGCCTGAAGGAAAAATAATTGCAAAGATTGGAAAAGGTACTGTACCTTCTCGTGGATCCTGTCAAGTTGCCGATTCTGGTTTGACACTTCCGTCGACATGTCAATGGCCATGTTTCGTAGATTTCCCACCATAGTCGAGACCTGAATTTTTTAGGTTTTACGTGCAATACTACTCTCATTTTTTGTCAAGACCAAACCACCACCAAATCAGGTTCCGCAAATGGCAAAGCTTCCAAAACGCACCTGCTGAATGTTTTCGTCCATCTCTTCCTCACGTGCGTCGTTTGTTATTCTGAAAGAATGAATTGGAACTGAACATTTTGCTGTAATTCTACTTTTTGTGCCATAGCTAGGTATTAGCTACCGTACCTCGTAACATATCCACCCTGCGGTCCCATAGTCGGGTCACCAACGGTGATTCGCGGTTGATCCGAGATGACACCTCCATCATCATCTTTCTTCCAAGCTTTAGCATATTCGGAATTCTTCTCAAAATCGTCGGCTCTGAAATTTAATTCTCGTGGGTTATTTATATATTCCTACTTGTTCCAAGGGAGTACACAGAGTCCGCAGCATTTCTCCATTCCTTTTAGATGTTCTTCAGCTTCTTTCATATCGGCGTTAATAGTGTCGAGTCCGACCTCGCAACGTTCGAGTTGTTCTAAATAAATTGAGGGTTGGGGCCTGAGCTGTAGATTGACCTCCTTGATCATCAAGCATCACAAGGGTCTTGATACCCGCTTCTTTACTCTCTTCACATAGCGCCATCATTCGCCGGGTCGATTCTAACGACTAAAAGGAAAAATAATATAAAATACAAAAATATACTTTTTAATTATTGGGTTACCAGTAGCCAAGCTCGGATAATTATGGATAATTTTTGTGTTATCTCAAAACGGGTGACGGCGTTTTTTTAAAAAAGATAATTGTTCCAAAAAGTAGTTTTTCCTAAAACCAGACGCTCATGCCAATTATTTATTGCATGTTATAATATTAAAGTTTCTCTCTTAAAGCTACGTATCACACCTCAACACATCGTTCCTCAATGTCGACGTTGAGCCCCTGTAGCTCGGAGCTCATATCAGCGGGAAAGATGAGCCCATTGACACGTACAGTACCCTCGGGACTGTCACCTTTCCCACGACCTCCACCAGAATGCCCACCAGACGATGATGACCATGTGGATGGCCCTGGTCGCTCGTCAGCCCCCATTCTACACCAAATATCGAATGTAAATTGAGAAGTAATCAAAATGAAAAATACTGGAAAAGGTCTGGCAAATCAAAAGGCCAAAATTGCCACGTTGTTTATCGGAAGGTTCGGACGGTAGGGGCCGTACGCGTAGCGCGTGATGTTCCGATTAATTGTGCATTTCCGGAGCCGACAACGTCGACAAGCCACTAATCCAGGGGGGCCCGAAAAGGCAAGCGATGGGGGGGTAGAGGCCGGCGACCCGGCTTAGGCCCCAGTGGTTTGCCCTAATTACAGACGTAATATAATAAAACGGGGGATAATGGTTGGGAGTGAGTGAATGTGAGGGGATCAAGCCGTTTAGAAAAGGGAGAAAGTCGGGGTAAAAGAATGATTTTTGGTTGTACGAGAGATGTACTATTAAACGGAGTCGGAAGTTGTCTTTTACGACACCTTTAAACGTTTAAAGAAACTAACTAGGGTTTCGACAAATATTACGTTGGAGTACTTTTTCATTACGTAATTTATTAAACCCTTTAAGGCTCCACGCGACATATGCGTTGCGTATCGCCCCCTTTAGAAATATTCTAAACCCAAAAAACATTAAACAAATGGTACCACCCAAAGACCATGGTGCAAAACCCCCTCCAATAAAATTTTTGCTACCACACCCCCGAATAAATACGTAATGACCCGGGGGGGGGGGGGGCTGCTATTCGGGATATCCGGGGGGGATACGCCCCCAGCACCAGCAAAATACCCCTGGCAACTGGATAGCGGTTGTCTGTTTGTACGTCTCTGTATGTCTATCCCTACCCTACAAAATGCCCGAATTTCCCCCAAAAAGCATCTCGTCGCGTGGATGGATGAAAAATTGAGCAGATTTTTAGGGAATGGACGAGACCCGATAATCGGGCGTAAAGCCCCGGGGCTAGAGATTCCCGCCGTTCTGGCGCCATTGAAAATAGGATCATCTCGGAAGCCGTAGGAATTGGTGGAGCGGGGATACGGGTAGAGAAGAAAAAAGGAGGGGGAGGCATAAAAATTCCGGATTAGCCTAGGAAGAAGGGGACGGCTACTAATCAAATGGCAACCTGAAGTGCTGGGGGACGGGGTGGGGGGTTTTGTCGATAGTAGGGAAAGGTAGGGTTAGAAAAATTTGGCATAAAAACTTTTGAAAAACCCATTTACCATTCACAAATTTATCAAATTTTAGTGGTCCGACCGTCTTAAACTTGATAAAGTTTTAGGAAATGTAAATGAATAGTTTGATTTGGGTAGCCTTTCGTAATTAAAGGGAAGGGTAAATGTTAGCATTGTGCTCTAGGGAATAGGTAAAACTTAGACTAAAAAAAAAATGTTAAAAAATCTCGTAACAAAGATTAGCTTGGATTGATTTAGTTTTAGTTGTGCGCTAATTTTAAAATTTTCTAAACAGTCTGTAAATGTCTAGAAGCGGCTAGTTTAGAAATGTTGGAATTTAGAAGGCATTTGAGACCTAATTGTCGATTTTTAACCCATAGTTCACTATAGAATTGTCCACTGCAGGCGGCGCGACACGCGACGCGCAGGCACGCTATTTTATTGCGTAATGGGTTACGCCCGTTGCGTTCCACCTAACAAATCTAAAAAAAACCCGAGGGGAATCAAAAACTAACATAATCCATAAGCCTGCTTGGGAAATATCGATATCCAAAATGGAAATTCCCATAAAACCCCTCCCTCCAATCTCTGATCAATTGGGGTTTGTGACATGCCGGTGAGCAACAAAATGCCTTCTCGGGGCCCACCGACCTTCGAGACCACACGGTCGCTGGGGCTGGTCGGGCCCCACCCCCGAACCAGTGGGGCCCTCAAATTAATTTTGCGCCCCGCCATCAGATGGCGAGGCCCAAAGACGAATGGCCTTTGCCTCAGGGCCCTTTCTCCCCCGCGAACAGTTTTTTTATGGTAGACAAGAATTGAAAAGTGGTTTCGGGAATTTGGTGGGGTCGAAAAGAGGCGGGGCGCTTCGATTAGCGATCTAAGTCTGGGGGAATTTTAAAAGCATTACTATAAATGGATCAGACACATAGGAATGTTTAAAAGTTAATAACAAGGTATCGATTTTTCTAGATAATATACACAGGGTGTTCCAAAAATAATACCCCGTCTAGCGGTTCGGTGGAAGTGGTTGATTGTCGCGATGCAAGTATCTATCGCAAGCCCTTATAAACCACGAGTGAAACAAGCTGATTTTGTTGTTAAATTAACAAATTATATGCTAACTAATATAAGAGAACGCATGCGGAATTTCATGGCTGTCGCGGAATTTTTATGAGATTTAAAATCTAAAGAAAATCGCGCAGGACTGCTAGAAAATTTGCTTTTTTGGCACACAGTGGTGCTATGCCAAGCTCCCTTCAAATTGACCAAAACAGAATTAACCACCCCGCACCGAAACCCAATAGCTAAACCCAAAATTGCATAATACCAACGACTATAAATCCTTCGACAACCTAAAACGGCAATATCAGCATGACCAAGCAGGTGAAACGAGAAATACCTCCTCCCACAAACCCCGTGCCGCCACCTAATTGCCCCCTGGGCCCTGATTTTTAGGGCCGCAAACGGAAATTCGAACGCCCCGCACCCTACGGTATCACTCGGATTAACCCCAAAAACCATCATCCTAAAATACCCAACTCAAGCGCGGAGCGACGCGGAAGAGGATTTTTCGGCAAAATGCCAAGTGAAGTGCGCTGCGAGGTGGAAAGTTGCCGTTGGCATTCCAGGCGCCCCTTATAATTAGCGATGGGAATTAGCCGTTTGCGGGTTGCCATACGAATTCGAATCGCCCTCACCCCCCTCACAAATTGATTCGGAAGTGCTTTTGCATTATCGGGGGGATCAACTGTACTTAAGATCCACGGTTTTTAATATAGCTAGAAACAGTCTTTCTGAACCGTTTTAAACTATTCCTAAGCATATAAAAGTTGTCAAATTCTTAGTAAAACATAAAAATATATAGACTTTTTTGCCCAAAAGTGCCGTTTTCGATCAAAATTGCTGACTATAAAGAATTTTCGCAGTTTTTATTTTTCCACTTCAGATATGGCTAAATGTTTAAAAAAAAGTTCTAAAATATTTTTTTTACTCTATTAGGAATTCCTGGAATAGGAAAGACCTTGGCCACTCAAACGTCTAAACCAAGTACCTAAACAAGGAAAAGCTAACGTAACCCGAAAGCACTTATCCAGTAAAAGTGGATAAAGTTTGGAGGCAACAGCGTATCAAAAAAACGATGTGGTGCCGGACGATGAAATTGTATCGATGCAAAAAATGGGCGCTGTCCGTGGGGGTCTTCTGAAGGTGCCCATCGAGGGGCCCACAAGAAGAAGGAGGAGAGCGGCTTGTGATGGGGCTCAAATTTCAGTCGTTTTCCTTGGAAATGTGACGGGCGGCAACAGGAATGGACTAGGCAAATAGCTATTCAACACACCGGGGTGGGCCCCCGACGACAAAACTATCACAATTCGACGCTGGGTTGAGGTGGGGCCTGGTAAAATAACACCAGAACGGGGACCTTGTGAAAGCCACAACAAATTACCCTTGCAAACTGGCAATGCATTTTTCGCAAAAAATTAAAAAAAGGCATCGTCCGACAAGCCGTAGACAGTTGGACAGAAGACTTTCAATATTTTCGTGATTTTGCGAATTCCTTTGGTAACGATTGTTAATAGAGCCTCAAAAACAATAAAAAATCTTCAATTGCAGCTATACTAATAAGAAAATATAAAAAACTTAGAGCGAAGACCAAAATGTCCATATGGGGTCGTGAAGCTGGTTTTCGACATTTTCGGAATTTTTCAATATTCTGAAGCTGCCATTTGAGCGCATTTTAAAGATCTAGGCAGCCAAAGAGATCTATGAAATATGAATCGGGTTTTTCTTTCTTGTTCTTGATCTTATGCGGAACTGTCGACACCGTCTTGTTGGGAAACAAAAATAGCCGGCAGGAGGAATTGCTAACATCGCCTATTGATGCGTAAACTTCAGGGGCACGGGGTATTGTAAGGTATCACTCTAGCAAAGAGAAACATCACCAAAACCGTTTCCAAGATCGAAAACAGCCGGAAGTTAGGCGGGGTGGGCTTTTGTGTGCCCCAGGGCCGAAGAGGTGACCTCCCCTGAGCTCCCACCCGGGGTGGGGCGCCCTGTCCATTAATATTTTAGCGCTTTTTTGAGGAATGCCCTGAGGGGGTCGACATACCCGGATATGTGTCTGTCGACATCGGTATCGAATTTGTTTAAATGGAGGTGGGCCTGGCGCTAGAGTGCTCTAGCGGAAAATTGGAGAAGTGGAAATCACGGATGAGAAGACTTATGCCAGGCTTAAGCTAACGCCTAAATAACGCACCTCATAAGCTTAACCCCAATCAGGTTCTTTTACACCATTAAAGGACTCTTGAAATAAATACCATAGAATACAAGACGAGACGAACCTCCCAAAACCCGACACCCCGTCATAAAAAAAGGTATTTCGGCACTCCATTCCGAGTGAACCCTCCCCTCCTCACCCATCGGTTCCCCGCTAATTTACTTTACATCCCCAGAAGCCGGGATGGGACCCAAAGAAATGTCTCCGTCACACACCTACTTCCGCCCATTCTTCGGCGCCCAAATTTCGGACTAAAGCTGGTCCCCGCCACCGAGCTGCACTAATGACGGCGGGAAAGTGCGAGTGTCCCGACGACTTAAAGGGGCTTGGAAGTTCCAAATATACGGATCTTTGGGAGGCTGGCAAAGAGCCGAGTGGTGCGACCCTTCCTGAGCACTTGTTTGCATGTGAAAACGCGTGAATTCCGGAATTATGACACCTTTTTTGCAGCTGGTAGGTTTTTTACGATTTAACGTGTTTTAATTATTAGAATTGGCTAAGAAATCGTGGAGACAAAAGCGATTTTCTTCTTTCAAATAGCTAGCGGTATTTCGTTCCGAAATACATTTTCCTGCTAATTTTAGGCGCTGCCCCTCTAGTT